TTTTCCCTCGAATTCCCAAGTGGAGATATGTATGTATGTAAGGCCATACCTGAAAAAGATGTAATATTGTAATTGACTTTTTGGAGAAGAGAATATATCAGATTAGTAGTAGAGAGTTTTTTACTTCGGATCAAATTGCCAATATATATGTATGTAAGGCCATACCTGAGAAAAGATGCAATATTGTGATTGACTTTTTGAAGAAGGGAATATAACAGATTAGTAGTACAGAGTTTCCCTCTTGGATCAAATTGCCAATATATATGTATGTAAGGCCATACCTGCAAAAGCTGCAACATTGTACTTGGATTTTCGGAGGAGAAGAAAATTTTCCCAAGTAGGTAACCTACTTAGGAGTACACTGGCATTGCTTCCGAGTGCCCGGTGATCGGATTGGTACTATTTGGGTCCGTACCGGCTCCGGCCTCAGGTTTCGACCCCTGGAACGACCGTTCTGGACACCTTCACTCTTTTGGGTCTTGGGGGGTATGACGTGGCGCGCTGTGATTGGCCCAAATTTAACACCGAACTTCATTTGGTTTGCTGGGGTCCCGACCAATGACAATCATATTGATAGGTAATCTTGCTCCGCGTACGGCGGCACGATGCCGGTTTCTTCCGTCGTGTGCATACCGAAAGTAGAATCTCGATAGTCACTCTGGATAGAATTCAGGGCTGGCTTGTTCTGGCTGCAAGCACATGTATGGTTGCTACCATTGGGCCCCAGCTGCTGCTTTACATAATCTTGTACGTTCGGTTCAATCGAAAGAGCTTCAAGGCACATGTTGCTACTGTAGCTCGTTGCGAGGACAAATGCTGTGGCAGGCCCATCGGTGGAGATTGGCTCTGAGCTTTACGATCATCGTCTCAATAGAACTACAAGTGGTGGGAGCAATTGCAAAGGATGGCGGAGCAGGACACATTCTGCATGGTGGCTTGCTCGGTCACCAGAGCAGATCGCCTAAGTTCATGCTTTTCCGGCTTATTGGTAACAACATGCCTCCCCTTCAGTCGTCAGGGCAGCTACTTTGGAACACAGAATATGCTTTGAAACATGAGGCAGACTTTCCAGACTGCCGAAAACGCTGGATCATCAACCAGGTTGTAAATACAACTGAGAAGCAGCTCATTCTGGACCTCTTGAAGCTGCACGGTTATGGGAGCGAGGACATACTGACTAGAGAGCTGGACTATGATGAGTTGATTGCCAGACCGGAGCCGGACTGGGAAGTATTTGTGACTGCTCAGAACCAGGGGAGGAATGCAGCAATTCAGAATGGAAAGGCTGCAGGGGCTACGTGGATCCTTCCGTTTGATGGGAATCACTTCATCACCAACCAGGCCTGGCGAAGGATTGTAAGATCCGCAAGGTGGGCAATGAAAGCAGGACATCAGTATTTCAAGGTAAGAGAGCGCCTCAGCTTTGTGTTCTGATCAGCAGGTTCAGGGCAAGATCTGTGCACATAGTTGTGTTCTTAGCTGAAAGGTCAGGGCAAGGCTATTGCATCTCCCAGACTGGTGAGGACAGTATAAAGTATCAGATTCTACATTTCCCTCAAATTGAAATCCTTATGAGGTATTGATTCCTTACCGAATCAACCTTTGAAGTCAGCTCAGCATAGCGTTCAGGTACCCATGTATAGAGTAGCTGAGCGGCAAGACAGCGCATGGCTAAATGCGAGCACCACATTCCAAACTGCCCTCCAATATGCGCCACTCAAAGGGGAGAGTCAGATTGCCATTCGGAACACGGCGGCGCGGCACTTCCCAGAAGGTGAGAAGAAACCTTGACCTTGTAATCAGGATAACGCCTGGAACCTAAGTCTGCTGACATGATCGCTTGGAAGGTCATCGCTGTGTTTTTCTGATTACTCATTTGTTGAGACTGAATTGACACTAGATTCCAGATTAGTGAGGATGGTTTGATGACTTTGCTTTGCTAAATGAAGTGTGCTGCCCTCTTTGCTTGTTCATGGGGGTCAGGAACTGATTGTCCTTCCCTCCTACTTCAAGAAAGTTCGCTCACCTTGCAGATATTCGATATGGCAAACGCAACAAGTGGAACTTTCTGAAAGAAGTCTGCCCTTCTGACCACAAAGACAGCGGGATCTGTGGTTGTTCTGATGTTTATCCTGAGAAGATAGAAGCTGAGTCAAACAAAAGTAGGGCATACAATATTAGGGTCGCAGCTCTTTGTGGGTACTCATTGAGACTCTGGATGTTTCCAACTGACGGCGTGGACGGTCCAACGAGCATTCTGGACTGGTCATACAGAGGGCGCCTGCGGGAAAAGGCAACGCAAAGTTTGATGAACCTGGTCTTTATGAAAATGCAAGACTTCAAAAAGACTCAACACGAGACTAGTATGGCAGACTCGATAGACTGACGATAACCGGTGTGTAATCCCTTTTCCCGAACGGCCGCGATTGCGATTGCCGGATTCGCAATCAGCAACATCTGTGTATACAAACGGGTCCCCAAGGCAGCACATACACGTACTGCTCTGACATATTTGAAGGCAACCATGTTGGGACTCTATGAAACTGGGCCGCATGTACGATCTTCACGTTGTGCTGGGCATGCTGGGTTTGACAGGCTATCCATGCCATATGATTCGCACATTGGTACTACTGAGCGTGAAATGCAATGCGACTTTCGACCATACAGCATATCGCTACGATTGGACCGTCATATCAGATGGCTGGTGAGGATTTTCTTCAGAGGCGCCCTCAGACATGTGTAGATTCAACCCAGCCAGATGTTATTTTCCGGCATGCAACCTATGGCAATATGGTGCGTTGTACATGCTATGCACAATCATGCCTAGCTTGGCCGACGGCAAGATTGCACTGCTGCCGCTCGAGCATACTCGTTGCAGCAGCATGCTGCCCAGGCTGGCTGGGCACTGACCAACAACTGCGAGCCTTCTGAACACTTCGCTTCTTCCGTGTGCAGGAGTCGACTTGGAACCTAGATCTCCACTGCATATCCCAATGTCCCCAAAGGTGTAGGCAAACCAGTGCAAATCCAGATTAGTACCTCGATGATGCAAGTTCATATATGCAAAGAGTTCTGACAGCGGTGGCTAACTTCTGAAGAGGGAAATAGCGGCTTATTCTCCCATGGTTGCCGCCGTCACTCTTTTCTTCTTCCTCGTAAACCTCTTGAGCCTCTCCTGCTTCTCCTTCTTCATGGCCAGCTTCTTGGACGACTGACCCAGCAGGGTGGGCGCGTCTTTCAAAGCAAAGCTGCGAGCCACGTGACCCAGGTGGAGCCGTTTCACGTGGAAGATCTGCTTCAAGCTGCCCCGGTGCGCCGCATACGACCGGAGGAAGGACCGGAAGGCGTCCGTTGCCAGCTGCCGGAGTTCTCGCTGCGGCGTTACAAGAACTTTGCGTAAGGTAAACGGATAAAGATATGCACTCAGCCAAATTCGACGTTGCAACACGCAGGTCCTCAATTTTGCCGTAGGCCCGCATGTCAGTTGCATCGACTAATCCAGACAGTACTCTCGATCGCAACCGCCCAAGACAACTTAAGTTAAAAGCGCCTTAGGAAGCTGCATGCGTCTCAGGAATTTTGAAAGTAACTTCTGTTTTTTTTAGCTTCCCGAACATAAAGTACCAACCGTGTATCTAGCGGCCCTTCAGCGTCTTTGAGAAAGAGAGCCCACAGTCTACACATGACTGGCCCAGGCAACAATTAGACATCCACAACCTTCTGTCCATAACCTGATGCCCAGCTCGTCTTTTTTCCACAACGTTGAAGCCAACGAAGCTGCTGAAACCACGCCCCCTCACCTGTTTCCCGAGCGTCCCCTCGAGCCGCTTCTCCAGCGCGAGCACGCCCGGATGCACCTCGGGAACGAGCGCCTCCTTGGCCCGCCCTTTTCGGCGGTCCAGCGGGATCTCGTCCAGGATGCCCATCAGCGCCAGCGGCTGGACTGCCACGTGGCGCCGCGCCAGCACGTCCAGGTAGTCCACCTCGTTCGGCTGCAGGAACAGGAACGACTCGCCCTCCTGGCCCAGCCGCGCAGTGCGGCCGACCCTGCACCACAAAGCCAAGTCCGATCAGCGCGCGAAGCACAATATTTCAGCGATGAAAGTTGTCGAGCTGACAAAAGACCCAGGAGGGTTCGAACGACACAGGACACAACCTAACTGCAGTTGCGGTAAACCTGACGGACTGAGTGCGTGTCAGTACGTTGACGCAGCAATGGGCCGATTGCAAACTGTGAAATCCGTGAAGACAGCGTTTGAGTGGAAAGCGGAGCGTGGCAAAGACAATGCTTACGATGAGGGAAAGAGTGGACCCGCCTGTCAATCGGGTCCCACTTTATACCACCATTCCCTCAATAGCAGAGCCTCCATTAACGAACAAGCACATGATCCCTGCCAACCTCGAACGCACTCATCTCCCCAACTGTCCAAAAAATGCTCCCTGCAGCCCCCCCCTCTGCTACTCAACCGCTGTGGAACGAGGAAAACTTTTACTACTTTGCCTGTTCACCTGTGCACATACTCCTCGGCCTCCCCCGGCGTGTCGTACTGCACGATCACGTTCACCGCCGGGATGTCGAGCCCCCGCGCAGCCACGTCCGTGCACAGCAGCACCCCCGACGCCGCCTTGCCGAAAGCGAAGAACGTCTGCGAGCGCTCCTTTTGGGACAGGTTTCCGTGCAGCTTGAACACCGGGCACGACACATACGTCCCCGCCTCTTTCCCGCTCTCTTCCTGCAGGCTGAACGTGCTGAGCAGCAGGTGGTGGAACTCGACGGCGTCGCACGTGGAGAAGAAGACGACGGCTTTGCACCGCGCGGCAGCGGCCGCTGTCTTGGCCCGCAGGAACGTGCACAGCGTTATGAGGCGCAGCTTCCAGGGCACCTTGATGTAGAACTGCCGCAGCTGGCTGGGGATACGGAACTGCTCGTCCTTCTCAGAGGCAAACACATCGTCCAAGTCCTTCTCTAGGTCGAAAGCGTCTGCGTCTGCATCACCCCCTGCAGCATCCTGCGCTTGTGGCCCGGCGTCGGAGGCTCCCGCCGGAGGGTTTGGGCTATCTAAACCGACTTTGAGCGGGTTGGCGAGGCTGAGGTTTGCGAGGCGGTCTACGCGAGCGTTGAGCGTGGCGGAGAAGAGCGCAATCTGCCGTCGAACGCCGCGATATGCGCCCTTCTTGCTGGGGTCATCCAGGATTTCGAGAATCTGCACGATGTCCTTCTCGAAGCCGAGGTCCAGCAACCTGCGCAATACGACGCGTTCAGTTTGTTAGTCGCAGCTTCTGCCAATGGAGATGGGGCTCCATTGCACTCGAGGTCGGCAGCCGCAGTGCTACAAGGTCAAAGTGTGCGATGCAAGCTTTGGATTGCGTCAAGTACGAACGACATCGGCGCCTTAACACACTCAATCAATCCACCATGTCTTGTTTTTTGGACGCTTCACGATTTAGACTTCCAGAAATGACACTACTCTTGCAAAAATTCAGAAGGAGGACTGTCCAGGTTAATGTTGACAATCCGACTCCTCGGTGGGCTTACCTGTCTGCTTCGTCGAAGATGAGCCATTGCAAGTTGTCGAGCCGGAAGGACGCCGTGCTTTTCAGATGGTCGAGCAGTCGACCGGGGGTCGCCACCAAGATGGTCACTCCTGCCAAACAACCACACAAGTAGATACGATGCCCGTCGAAAAGGCGATGAAAAGATGGCCCACAAAATACAGAAAACATGCTCGTCTGCTGCGGTTAGAGGTCTCCACCTTTCAGCATGCACACAATGAGAATAGAGCAGGCTAGATTGAAATGAATTGCTGTTGCACGATAAAAACGGACTAAATGGAGCAGTCAATCTGGCATGAGACAAAGTTGATACGTTTGCTCATCATAAATCTTCCTTCGAACAACATCAAGATGAGAGGCAACGGCCCCACCTTTTCTGAGGCGTGCCTTCTCCTTGGCCTTCTTCTCGCCCCCCATAATCTGGCCCGGCACCAGCCAGATGAAGCGCTTCACCAGCTTCTCAGCCACGCCAGTGATCTGGAGGCACAGCTCCCGAGTTGGGGCCAAGATCAGGGCTGCAACAAACCAAAGCCGGCGGGTGTCAATAGACTACAAAGTGCCACACAAGGTCACAATGAGTGCTTCCAAGCTGACACCGAAATGCACAAACATAAGACATACGGTTCATCGCTCTGCAAAATCAGAGCGACAAATTTGGCAGCCTCAAGAGCGGTTGGTGAGATACCAAAACTCCGCGAGTCTCAGGACAGTTCCATCGAGAAGTTGTTTAACGCAGGTGCAGATTGCAGATGAATCATAACCTTGCGTCCTCAAAAGCGGCTCACCATAGGTGCCATCGTGCCTTTCGACTTTCTTGTCTCTTATTGCCAATTGGTCAACAATGGGTGCCAAGTATGCGAGGGTCTTCCCACTGCCGGTATCAGCCTTCACCAAGGCATCACGTCCAGTGAGCATCGCAGGGATGGCCGCTTTCTGTACGTGGGTGGGGGCAGTGAAACCCAGCCCTCCTGCACATTACAAGCAGCTTTTCATCAGACCCCTGCTTTATTTGGCTTTCCATACGAGCCCCTGCAAGAAAAGAGCTTGTGCACTTCATCAAGGCACAAACACTTGACTTCAACATGAGCACAGGGCGCAAACTTGCCATAATCGATTCAAATGGTATCAGGAAACCACTGGTGGGAAGCAGCTGCTAAGTACTGAGACGTTCTTTCAGCTCCCTGCTAGCTCATAGAGAAGTGGTGTGTTGTGCATTCCAAAATTGATTCCAGGGACCAGAAGAAAAATAGGCTGGACTCTATCAAGTGGGTGGTGTAAGCCGGCAAGAACCTCTCTCAAGCTTTGTAAACAACTTAATCAGTCAATCAAACCTCCATCACTCTTAAACCCACCTTCGATATGCTGCGCCACCGGGGCGGATAGGCCCAGCTCTGCAAAGCTGCTGGCAGAGAAGACGCTCCGAGCTGCTTCTGCTGACAGTGGTTCTGACTTGGCAGGCTTTGCGCCCGCAGCGTTGGTTGCAGATGCATTCGTGGCTTGGTGCACCCCATGAGACGGTGCTTTCTGCACAGCCCCTGATTTTACAGGAGGCTCGGCATCTCCCCAAACAGATTGGTCCCTCTCACCCTGACCACCAGCATTGCCGACTGATCCCAAACCATTACCCCGATTTCCAAACGATTGCTTGGGCGGGCCTGCATTCTTCTTAAATGAGAATTTATCGCTCGATGCTGCTTTCACATCCTGTTTGGCGGCAATTGGACGCGTGCCTGCTTTCCGGTCGGCACCCCCGGATCTTGCTAGGTCGTCAACTTTTCTACCTGCCCACACTGGCTTTTGATGGCTGACGGTAGTCCCCCCCCTTTCCTCCGTTTCATTCAGCTGTTCCGCAGGCAGACTAACAGGCTTTCCTTTGCCGGTCTCCTGACCAAGTAATCCTTTGTGTAGGCCGCCAGACGCGCCAGCCTGTACTCTCCTCTTCTTCGCTGCCTTGCTATGCCGCTCTGCATATCTTGTTTTGGAACTCTTCCTCTTCCCTGTAGCAGTGCCACCACCACTTGTCACAAAATTCAGAAGCAAGCTATCATCATCGTCCTCCATCTCAACGCCCCTTGCAGTTGATCATGTGGGATACGGCCAGATGTTACTGTACGCATGGGCGTCTGCGCCGCTTTGAATCCCCTTTTCCCCGTCCTTCGCCTTGTCCTTCGTCTCCGAGCCTGCCAGGTCATGGACCCCCTGCATGTGAACTCAAGTGTGCTCAAATTGGGATGATCCCCGAAGGAAGTCGAACTTCGCAGTTGCTCGGGAGTCGGAAGCACCTTGCCGGTTCTCTAGACGAGAGTCTGTCTGAGTGAGAGGTACCGGATTGATGCAGCGGCACTCCAAGTTCACGGTCTTGCGAGGACTTGCGAGACGCCGTTTCTCCACGACGGCCTGGTAACGGGATACTGAGCAGCGAGGTAAAATTGTTACCGCCGACCGCAGCAGCTAGATTCGCTTCCATGCTGCAAATTGCAGTTTGAGGCAGTTGATCAGACGATCTGCTCCTACCGAATGCAACCCCAAAACCTTCTAGATTTTAGTCCCAGGAAGCTCGCAAACTTAAAAACTTTACTTTCAAGGCCATATTGACTCCAACCTACCTAGTAGATACCTCATTGCAATTTTGTCGTCATGCAATGATAACATTGATATATTGCATTTTGTTGCTGTTCCGCACTGAATCTCAAGCGCATGCTTGTGTGTCCAATCTATTAACAAGTCAACTCGAACAGTCGACCAGATTGCATAATCCAAGTTCGGAATCGTCAACTTGGATCCATGAAGATACAAGCGCTTTTGATATGCATATGTGCATGAAGCAGCCTCGGATCGATAGGAGTACATCATAGGGCACTCCTACATTACGCTCAGGCGAGAACTTGTTGATCGTTGATAAACGTACAACCAACAACCGGATCGGACGATTTGAGGAGCCACTGCATCAAGGGAGCAACTCCTATTACTCCAGATGGAGCCACTCCAACCAAGCCTGAGTTGCACGCGGTTCAATTGTGGAAGTCAATGGCTTGAAAGAATTCTGCAATGACCAACGGGTGAAGCGCTTCATCTCATTAATCAATGTGGTCTTGATTCTTGTAACCGCTCGCCTTCCGTGTGGTTTACGAAAGGTTCTAACCAATGTGAGACTTTCTCATAAACTGCAAAAATGATGGCCGCATTAGGAGCCGCCTTGATAACCGAGGGCCAGATGCCCTTGTACACCCCCCGTACTCCTTCCGTTTGAATGATGTGCCGGGCAGTGCTTACGATGCCCCGGTACGCTGTCTCGTCCACCCTCTTTCCGTAGCTGGGATGCCGCTCAAGGCCTCGAACCTGCAACAAGCGGTGACCCAAGTTCGACTTCCATAATGGATCAGGGCTCATGCCATGAACCTTGCCTCAGGAGGTATAACAAAGTTCCAGGGTCTGCACTTGAGGAAGGAAGACGTTCGAGTTCCAAGACTGAGATCCTGTGACCGCAGCTCAAGTGCGTGCGATGGAGGTCACAAGAGAGTGAGAGCCAAATTGGATATGTAACGGCTCGCAATCTCTAATAGTGGTAGCCGTTGATACACGGCTCACTCGGACAATTGAGGTATCGTACAATCTCAGAGTCGAGATTGTTCGGAAACCAGACTGCCGTTTTGTTGTGTAGGGACTCTGCTTGAGCTCCTGTACTTTGCGCACAGTCGCTCATTCGCTCGCCCGACCGTGTTTGGTCCAGTAAGTAAGCACTCCTGACGCACCGACCTAGCAGAACAACGGACGAAGCTCCTCACACCTGTCCGGCAGAACGAACGAGGCCTCCTTACCTGGAACCGCTTCTTGATCACGTCTAGTGGGTGCGTCGCAGTCTTGGCAATCAGCCCGGCACCCAGCCCGATCATGAAGTGTTGCGGGGTGGTTAGATTAGCCGCGCCCACGGAATGTGCCGGTCCGTCTTCCCCATACTTTTGCGCATTGTAGGCCTGCGCACCACAGAGATTGAAACAGGTGCTCGCACATAATATTCTCTGATTCGTGAACGTTGCAAGAAGAGGGTGGTGTGATTGTCGACGGCCTTATCACCAGCACTTTTCCCGTCACGACGTCCTCATAGTCCGACAACTGCTAGGAACGGCAAAAAACGACAGAAATGGCACCAAGTCTTGGTGTTTCTGGTCAGCACCGCATTGGGTGAGTCGAAAAAAGGCCGAAGCATCTGGCGGCTCACCATCATGGCCCGCTTAAGGGAGTCATAAGCTCCGAACTGGATGCCTGCGTAGGGGATGATCTCGAAAAGGGTCGGGGTGAGCCCTGCGTACAAGCCGCGGATGCCCCGTCTCCGGAAAATGTCGACAGCCGCGGCCCGCATGGTCGGGTATTTCTGCCACAATGAGAGCCAGACTACTTAAGCCCATGTCATTCGGCCATGAGTCTGCAATCAATCCAGCCGCGAGCACAGGAGTTTGAGCGGGAGTCCTTTTATATCAAGGTACGTCACATTTCCCTGGTTCGAAAGATACTGATGAGTTGCGCACCTCAATGGCCAGGTGCATTCTAGAAATGTCGATTGGAACACCCCGACCTCAATCTGTTTCATCGGCACTTTACCCCCTTCTTCTGACCCAGGCCCACCCCTGTCCTAGCCAGGACCTGAATCTGGCCTTGCCTCACTTTGGAACCCAAGAGTTTCTTACCGGGGGGTTTCCTTGTGCAGCCAATGTGGTACGCAGGAGGTCAAAGGGGTACGACCCCAGGGTGGCGGCAGAACCGGCCACCGCGCCCCCAACATATGATAGAACAGGGCTCAACTCGAGGTGATCAACTGCGGCGCAAAAGAGTTCCAATCAGGACAATCTGAGGCCACTTGAAACCTGGAAGTCTGCAACTAAGCTGACGAAGGACCCAGGAAGGGATCCTAGAGAAGCGCTCTGAATAGGAAGGACAAGCTTGAAGCTTGGTGCACAGTGAAGGACCGCTGAAGAAGAGAGCAATGTACATTCACTGACTACTAGCGTCCACATCTTTCCTGGGGCGGGGGAAAACCGCCTTGTTTAGAGGGGCCTAAGAAGCAGCTGCGCTGTGGTTGGAATCAGGTCAAAAGCTGAAGCGTACTGAGATGTCAGGACCGCACCTCCTTTTGTGGAGCCTGCCACCAGGGTTTTGAATCTAAGCATGACGGTGAACTGAATGGCCGTGTAAGGCATCACCAGGATCAGACCCGGAACAGTTCCCCGCCAGAGGCCCTGCAAGACGACGACAAAATTGTGGGAAAGCCTTATTCACGATCATGGACCCGTGATCGGGTGGTGTAGTAGAGGCGTTTGCTAAGGCCCTTTCCATGCTTCAGCTTTTGCCCATAGAACTAAAGGTGCATCTGGCTACAGGGGATCTTATGCTATCAACTTGGACATAACATAATTGGGATTTCGGGCGTGTGAAAGGGGAGAATTGCTGCCTGCCTCACTCTAATGCCTTCCTCAAGATAGATGGATCTTGCCGCTTGCAGGACCCCAGTGTACTTGGAGGCGCTGTGCACCACTGCCTTGACACCGTCTCGACTGACCTGGCCTCGGCCCAAAGGCTCCAATTGCACCTGGAACACGGGGCGGATCGGGTTCAGTCACCTCTTATGGCATTCAAAGCATCAGGGCCTAAAGGAAACACAGGAAGTTGAATTAAAGAACGAGTCTCAGTGCCCCAGCATCAGCCTTCTGAGGACAATGTGAAAGTAAAAGGAACGTGATAACGCCGAATGTGGCGGCAGCACTGCATCGCACCTGGCTCCAATCGCAGTGCGCTATGCTTGAAAGAAGTGCATCTTTTATGCCACACCTGAAATCTTATCTTGATAACATCGAGGGGCGCAATGGCCACTCGAGCCACCCCCCCAGCAACGGCGCCAGAAAATGCGTCGACGACAGGCCTGGGGAACTGGATAGGACCTTCCAAGTTGAGGCCTTGCTGCAAGCCATGTGCCTCCTCAGGAGAGCCACCCATGGAGATGGCCTTCTTAGGACCATCAAAAGCAGGGCCTTTCGTTCCTGCAGAAGGCTTCTCTCATTGGACAATCTTCGATGTTATCTGTGGTCCAATGTCTCGCCAGTGGGAATCTGGGAGCAGAGCCCAATACCTTAAAAGCCTGATGGTAGCCAGCAGGATCTCAAATAATCATTGAGCGTACGTTTGCGATGGCAGAGATTGTGACACGGCTTAATCGGCAGCGCAGTGTGATTGTCTCATTGAGATGTAGCGCTGAATTTCCTCATGGAAAGAGGAAAAGACCTATCAAGACTCTATGAATAGCAGGAAATCATCCATTCTGCAGTCAAATTTCGACAATGGAGGACAAGGGAGCTTAAATGAGCCCTTTGCGTCCAAGACGAGCAGCTGAAACGGAGGGAATGCTGTAGAACTGCAGACACAGTTTTCATTCGACAGCCTCAGCCTCAGGACTACCTATGCAGTAGCCAAGCTAAGATCTTGGGTTTAGATAACCCAAAACTTTTTGGAGCCCGCTCGGTTAGAAACAGTATAAACCTCTTCTGAAAAAGGTGACGGAACCAGAAGCTTTATTCTCGAGTGTCGTTCTTCTTTCCGTGTATTAACCTGGTGTGAGAAACGTGGTCATGCACTTGGCTATTTGTAGCGCGACATTCAATGCTGCAATCAAAAGCTTGCATGAGAGCCACCATGATTGCAGCAAGCTTTGTCCGCCCTGATCGCCTCGCTAAAAGCTTTACGCTCTCTCTTCAAGCTCCTCGCTCAACCCTTTCTGCTGCTGAAGCGCAATTAGGTTGGCAACCCTGGAGAACATTCGTGCAGAGGAGGAGCTCAGAGCTCGCCGTTCAGAGAAATTCTGACTGGGCGCCTAGAAGCCCCCAAGGGACTCCTTTGCTAGGACCAGGTCTCAGCAGCACGCTCGTATACCCTGCATTGATTCATCTGACGTCGAGGCGGGGGCCCCCGGCATCGCTGAGCGTAATGGCAACCGCTGCTGGCACAAAGCAGGAGGCGCCATTCGGTGCTTGGAAGTCACCACTGACCACCGAGCTGGTGACTTCGGGGTCGCTCAGGCTGGGACAGGCACAGATCAGTGACGATGGAAAACTTGTTTGGAAGGAAGGGAGACCTTCAGAAGCCGGGTAAGCGACATCATTCAATCCAGACACAATGAGGCCACTGCTGCCACTTGTTTAGCCCCTAAGCTTCAGGTCTTGTTGCCCTGATTGCGCTGCTGCTTTTGTCTACAATGAAAGTCTTCCCATCAAACCCACAGCTGCTACTGCGCAATAACCAGTGAGATCTCCAAGCGCTTGCATCACCTGGAACACAGACCCATGCAACCACTTACTAACTTACTAAGCGTCCTCAAACAAAATTGTCAAGTTGAGTGGTGGGGCTCCAGTGTTTCACGCAACGAATTGATATCACTTTAAGACAAAGGGTTTTCAATGCGTCACTTCCGATGACAATTGAGAGTTTTCTTTCCGCAGGCGGAGTGTCCTGGTTATGCGGGACGGCCTGTCTGATGGTCCACAGAAGGACCTTACTCCCGCGGACCACAACGTTCGTACCCTGGTCCATGAATATGGGGGAGAGAGCTGGGGGTTGTTCGCTGACTGCGTCATCTATTCAAACATGAAGGATCAGCGGCTCTACATGCAGAAATTGACTGGAGGTAAGCCCAAAGATTTGTTTGTACCTCTGAAGGCGCTATATAACCATGTGCGTCCTCTGAGAAAAGCAGTTAAAAAGACTGTGGTTACGTTTGTTGATCAAGCAGGTTGATTTGGCCATCGAAAAAGCTGGTTGTGATCTGTAAACGTCATCAATCAGTGTGGAATTGTCTCTCCGCAAACCACGAAGAGGCTTACAGTTCTCACATGCTCCACTCGGCACCGCTGAGCAAGGTGGGGCAGAACTCGAATCGAAAAAGGGTCTATACCTGAGAGCTATACCAATCATGTGCGCAGATCAGACTCCTGTTGCGCTGACTCCGGAGGTCGAAGGGATGAAGGTCAGGTATGGCGATGGGGTGCTCGACACGCAGCGCCAACGCTTCATCACCATCAGAGAAGGTCGGGCCCTCTATACATTACCCTACAAAGTCTTCTTTCCGCTCATGGGACTTTTCATCGACGCTTGCAAGGAGTCCTTCCAATGGTAGTTCACAAGTAACTTGCCACAAGGAATCCGGCTCACCTGATGTCAAGTGGCTTGATGTAGCATCAAGGATTGACCATTTTTTTGAGAGGAGGGCGGAGTGCACTCAGCATGTTGCAGGCAGGTACATCCCGCTAATTTGAAAGGACGTGCTCAGGACAACACAATGCGAAAGACATCGACCGTTTCTCACATTCTCCGCCTGCAGATCATCGAGAAGAAGGGAAGGAGTGCAAAAACGAGATTGTAGCGGTTGACCTGACAAATCCAACCGCTGGTAAGGCCTTGTACTTTGAATGCCGGCCACCTTGCCAAACCTTCACCTGACTAATGGATGAACCCCCTTTTTAAGTCATAGCGTCACAACACTTGTCACGATATTCTTGGACACAAGCGGGCTTGCGGTTTGTCATTCACCAACTCGGACCCTGAAGCTTCTGGAGGCATTCCAAACCAAACAGGAATTTCCCTTCACAAGAAGGTGGCTGAAAGCCACAGACAAGCCGTGTGGTACACTCCCGTATCAGAACGAAGCTGATGACGCCAGATTGTCCATCGGCAAAAGGACTCTCATAACGTAGCTGTTCATTGATTGTGGACTCGGTATCCACAGCTTTGAAGCTCGAGTCATACGCAGAGTCAGAATCGAACGAACTCATTTGATTCGAAGTGCCTTTTGTACCCTCCAGAACCTGTCGTGCTGGTGACTGGCCACGACTTCGTAAGCTACCCCCGTCTAAGTCCTGACGGGCGCCAGCTGGCGTTCACCACGTGGGAGCATCCGAATATGCCCTGGGACGCAACGCAGCTCTGGCTAGCTGACGTCACCGATGCAGGGTGAGCGCGTCCTTCGTTAGAAATGACTGATTTCAATACGAGCTTGATAAAGCCATGAGTCCTGTCCTTGGTTGTCCTGTAGCCTTGACCATCATAAGGAGCCCTGATGAAGAAGAAGAAGCCCATGTCGTCATGGACCGTCTGGTCCTGGAGATCCTAGTCCGCAACTGAAGCGTGCAGGCATACATTTTTGGTCGGGTTTTCTGCCTAAGCGTTGTCCGTTCCCTTATTTCGATAGCCGTGGTTCCCCCATCTGTCCTTCAAGTAACGTCACGATTCGTTGCTCGCTTTCACCGACTAAGTTGTTGAACTGCAGGGAGTTGAGCAACGTCCGGTCAATTGCAGGCGGGAAGGATGGGGCTGTTGAGGCGGCCACACAACCTAGCTGGTCGCCTGCAGGTAAGAACGGGTACGTCACTATGTTGACCTGCTGTTTATCGGACTGGAAAATCATGTAGACAGGATCCGACTTGATTGTCTTCAAACCTGCTCAGCATATTGCTGCGCCAGGTCTGCACGCAGGGAGCCGTCAGATCCTGGCATTTCGGCGAAAGGGGCTCGTTTTCCGTTCAAATTGTTTCAATGCCTCGCACTTCTCTTCTTGTTGCAGGCGAACTCTTCTATGTCACCGATAAAGGCACCGGCTTTTGGAACATCCACAGATGGGTAAGCACGTTGACGTCTCCTCGCGGTCTTCTTCTCAAAGGGGCGTAATTTCCCACGATCAGTTTTGTTTCTTCAAGGTTGCAAGGTGAATCCTGTCGAGCATCTGCATTGCGCACTTGGGGGCGGTGCCGGGTGGCTTCATTTAAGGTAGTTCTTTCTCGTGTGTGCGACTACTTGACGCTTGTCGAGGCAAAGAACCTTGTCCACGTGGCCTGAGAGAGCGATCATAATCTTGGGGGATTGGTTGAGGATTGCAAGCCGCATACTTGCTGGCTTGTGGCGAGAATCCCATTCAGAAGCAATTAAACCGAGTGCCTCTAAATAAGAACTGCTCTGTTCCACCCAGGACGGATCGTCGTCTGAAGCAATCACCTCGCTCGAGGCGGAGTTCGCCCTGCCGCAGTGGTTGTTGGGCATCCAGACGTTCACCTTCGTCCCTGAGACTGCGGGCAAAGGAACGCACATCCTGGCCGCCTATCGGTACGGCCGACCCCTCCCGCTCCATAATAATCCAAAACTGGCCTTTCCTTCGTAGTAGTGGCCAAGTCTGGTCCCGGATGCTCGCAAATGTTGCTGACCGGAAGCGGCAGCCTGCTTTCGATGCAGTGCTTGGCCGTTACGTCGACTGAGAATTTATGCTGTTCGGCGAGCGACTTTACGTGTCTTGTGTGCCCTTGCAGAGACAAAGGCATCGGCAAGCTGGCCGTAATCGACGCCTCCTCCAAAGCCCTGTACCCGGTCGAGACCGCCTACTCCGACATATCATATGTGGTAAGACCAAGTTTTTGTTCAAATAACCTTCCCTGCAACGGACGTATTGCATGGAGTTTCCAGGCTGTTGAAAGTTTCTTGCATCACCAACGCTCCAACTTCGTGTTCGGGTCAGAGCTTGACATGTTAGGCTTGCGCAGCAACTCTCCTGACGACAAATAAGGGCTCGTTACACGGGCTTGCATGTCGTGCGAACATGGAGTATCAGAACAACCACGGGAGGCTCCGCAACCCATCATCAAGGTATCCAAGTGTGCTAAAAGGCGCAATTCATAGATGTGCGTTTCTCACGTTCGTGGCGGCTCTTGAGACCGATATTCAGGGAACGCTCTTGCAGGGGTCTGGAGGAGGCAAGCTTTTGACCGTGGCAGCCTCGGCGACCGAAGCCCCTTCCGTGTTGTCGGTGAGTCGCCCGCAAGCCGGTCCAAGCCATCCATTAGTAAACGGTACACAAGTACTTCGCCGGTTGGTCTTCAAGTCTCTTTCCGAGTGGGTACTCCTGATGATTCGACTCGCATCAGAAGTTCGCGGCCTCACGCTACACGGTTAAGCCGCTCTAGGTGTTTGCAGACGAACCACTCCAACTCCGGGCGCTCTCCCTGAGAGTCTCTTTCTGAAGAGGTTCAATTATGAAAAAGTATCACATACCGCATTTGATCACTGTCAGGGCGACCTAGGATCCTGTCGATTTCACATTCTCGACATCCTCGAGCAAGAGCTCCTTACACACTTGCGACTCTGGCTTGCCCCAGGTCGAACTCTCACCCGATCTCAAGGGCGGCGTCGCTCAGAGCGTGCTCTTCTGCTCCAGCTCGCTGGACACGGGCAAGTACCGGCCGTACCTGACGGTCCCCGAGTCCATCAGCTTCCCCACCAAGGACGGCGAGACGGCATACGCTATTTACTACCCGCCCGCCAACGCCGACTTCCAGGGGACGCCAGGGGAGAAGCCGCCGCTGCTCGTCAAGAGCCACGGTGCGCGCTCCGTTTTAGCTGCGTTTGCGCAAAAGCTTGTCGGCGTTTATGTGGTTTGCGCATGCGGGTAGTGTACCCTGGGGCGCAGCAGCGCTTTCGTGCTTCTAACCGCGTCTGCTCCTTGCTGGTGGAGGCCGAATCTGCCGATTGCCACGTCACCAAGCTCCTCTCAAGATTTGACACTACGGCTCCTTCGCTCAGGCTTGGTGTGGCCTGAGTTTGGCAGCAGCTTACGACAGCTGACTGGTTTCCTCTTCTCCCTTGCGTATCTTTCAGGAGGTCCCACCTCCGAGGTGGGCACGTCCTTGAAGCTGGGCATCCAGTACTGGACCTCTCGCGGTTGGGCCGTCGCAGACGTCAACTACAGGCAAGCAGCATCGTCACATTTCTGCAAGCAAGCTACTAGCGGTCTGGTGGAAACGAGCGGAGTTAAGAAACTTTGCGGTCAATCTAGGTTGTTATTGAAGAATCAATTTTGATCGAGCAGCGTGCTTGGCGGACACGTTATCTACCCCTCTATGCTCGCTTAGTGCCTCTTGTTCAGCCTGAAATGTAAAACCTTTTTATTGTGACCGGCGACAAAACATGCTCGAAGAAGAACAATAAGAAACCTGTGTTGCGGTACTGCTCGTGCCAATCTTAATACTCTTACGTGGCTTACTTTCTGCCGTATTCTTGGCAGGCCTTAGGAGAACGGTGTCTGAGATCCAGGTGTTTTTCTGCCGTCAGGATTCGTTTTGAAGAAGCATGCGAATCGAGGGCTCCGTCCACCACAAGGCCAATCGTGGTAACCTCAAAGCCCCCCCTTTCTCTAGTGCCCACCTCATGGACCAATAAGGACTGCATTCTTATGTGTGCTCATGGATTTGTTTTCCAGGGGTAGCACCGGGTACGGGCGGGAGTACCGCGAGAAGCTATACGGCACGTGGGGCATCGTAGACATTGACGACTGCTGTAGCGCGGCAGACTACCTGGTGAGAGCGAGCGCGAGCACACCGCACAGACACGTCCCTTGCAGGCGATGCCTGAGTGCGAGATATCGAGGGGTGTTCTTTGCAAGAAATCAAATGGGCAAGTCCTTTGAGTTTGAAATAATGAAGCAGTGCCTTCATAACACCCGACGGCAGCCCGGACTTCAGACGTGCTCGACACCATCAGTATCCTCTCAAATAGCGCCGTTAGAAGGTATTTGAAGCGAAACTTGCTCTCAAATGGGTAAATTTCAAGCTAGACATCCTACCTGCCCCGGTTCACGGTGACCGTCGCTCTACTGGAGAGCTCTACTCATTGTCCAATCTTTACAGCGCTCTTTAAGCATCCTGCCGGTTTTAGATAGAGAGGCAACTTTTCAAAATCAGACGACTAAGTTAGTCAAGACTGAAACTCATATGGTGTCAACTAACTTCGACGAACTTTTAAGCTTCCCACGCTATCTAAAAGTGGCAGGTTGCTCGCAAAGAGCTGTATCATAGTAGGCCCAAATACTACCCGCTCTTTGAGCAGGTGAAGGCCGGCAAGGTGGACGGGCAGCGGCTGGCCATTGACGGCGGCTCCGCGGGCGGGTACACCACGCTGGCCGTGCTCGCGTTCCGGGACACCTTCAAGGCGGGCTGCTCCTACTACGGGGTGGGCGACTACAGGCGCTGGCCGCTTATGAGTGCATCCTTATCTCTTTTGTCTTTAGTTTGCACATTTTCAGGGCTACAGTGAACGATGTGCGATAGCTAGTGCAAGGCGCGAAGGTGATTGTGTGGCTGTTTGGTGGAGGTTTAACCGTCGTCACCATGGCTGCTGGGTGCGGTTTCTGTCATGGCAAGTCTACTTGCGGCCGGCTCTGGAGCTGTTGTTTACTTTAGCGACCGGAAGGGGACTTCGGGTACTTTGATAATGGTGGAACGCGAAGACGTTCTCCGCTTGCTTCACATCTGTGGGCCGTCCATTTTCGAGGCCCAGACAGTTTCCAGGAATGGGGAGCTTTCAAGGCCCCATTGTTTAGGCTAGGGCTGTATTGCTCTGATCGCCTTTGTCAGAGCCACCAAGTGCACCATTCAGTGTATCAATTGTTATGCAAGTGGCATGCATTCAGCAAGCAGCATCGTCGGTCATTCGCACGTTCTCCTACGGGTCGAGTAGCGAAGCTTGTCGCTCGAGTCACGTTTGTCTTCGGTCTGTCATTGCCCCTAAGTTGCCGTCCTTGTCTGTCCCTCCAGGTGAGCGACCTTATGACCCTGGCACAGGAGACGCACAAGTTCGAGTCGCGCTACCTGGACAAGCTAGTGGGTGAGCGCTCATCACACGACTCTCGCAATGAAAGTCACAATCTTTGAATTTCAAGTTTTCTGCAAACTCCTTTCTGTGTGCGATTGCCCATGTTCTGCCCTGCTCTGATCATGACGGACTGGATTATGCCAGGCAGCCCGTGCAGTCCACTCTCACTGCGTCATTCAGTGAAGCTCTCTTCCTTGCTGAGCAAATCTGTTCGAACAACCGTCACGTTTGCGTGCGTTTGTCAAGCGCCTCTTTCTGAAGCGTGGTCCTCAAACAGGTCCTGTGGCCACGGCGGCCCAGCTGTACGATGAGCGGTCCCCCATCAAGCACGTGGACGGCTTCTCGTGCCCGGTCATTCTTTTCCAGGGCCTCGAAGACAAGGTACGCCGCGGACTCCTCTCTACGTTTTTCAGCTTCTTCCTTCCGACCTGTGCTCGACCTCGATGCGTCTCCTTAATAAAACCCTCGTCGCACTCCTTCGATTTATTCTTTTCTTCGTACTCTAGCTCGGGAGACCCGTGGCATCGTTGCCATTCCCATCTTCCCCCACGCACGTCTCCTCCAAACATGCGCAGCTTATAACTCGCTGATATGGCATGCCCAAGCCAGGCATGAGATGAAACCTACGCATGAGGAGTGGGAGAAACCTTCTTCTGCCTTGACTGTGGCTCGACAGAGTGTATCTGATCCTTTTCGTCCTGCGCAGGTGGTCCCCCCGAACCAGGCTCGCATGATGTACGAGGCGGTGAAGGCCAAGGGGATCCCCACGGCGCTCGTCGAGTACGAAGGGGAGCAGCACGGCTTCAGGAAGGTGAGCTGAACAAGACACGGGGCCATGACGGCTCGCGTGCTATCAACCGTGTGCACTGCAGAAACCCGCACAGTCTTATAAGAACGGCCGACTGTGTGAGGAACACTTTATGTGTCCCGTACGAGTGTTGCAGAACCGGATGAAAACTTCGTGTTCTGGAATTAGTCGGCGCATTTGAAGTTGCATCCGACGCATCGTGTCGAGATCCTTTACGGGCTTCCCTGCGTCACATTGTTTGACTACAAGCCGACTTTGATCTTGTTTGAAAATGCTGCGAGCCTGTGCTAGCGAGGGCCCCTTGCATGTGCCTCGCTATGGTTCCAAGGTTCTGTCGGGGACAGTCAAGGCCACGGACGTTGGCAGGCGCAAACCTGGTCTTCTCCCCTTGCTCGCAGGCCGAGAACATCAAGACAACACTTGAGTGGGAGCTGTTCTTCTACTCCAAGGTGTTCAATTTTACTCCGGCCGATCCCATCGCGCCTCTTCACATAGACAACCTGTAATCGAAACGGGCCGCAGTAACGCATGCTAATGTTGAAACGTAGAGCGCGCATAAAGCACACGCCCCGCCTTGATAGCTAAATTTTAGATCTTGGCGCGGTAAAGTGCAAGCCTTGATTCAGTTCTAAAATAAGTCGGGCACGCTTTCGGACTTCGAGTTGCAATTTTTTCATCTGACCTTTTCGTGTTGCATCTATGTCCACGGGCCTCGCATAAAGTACGAATGGTGCTGCATGTCGCGAATGAAGCTGAATCTGTCATCAGTTTCCCGTACTTACATTTGCTAGTTACGTACTGTCCGGTATTATTGGCTTGCCCTTTCAAGGGGAACCCATAGGGTTCCATCACGAACGAAACATCTGCTAGCAGGTGAACCATTTTTCAGACCGTAATTCCTAGACTGGCCGTTGGCTTAGCCAAAATTCGATACGGAGGGTTTAGTGCCATCTGTTTTGGCCGGACATTGCTAATTGTCGTTCACGCATGGCGCGCCATGCATGACACTAATTTTCAATATCAGAAAGAAGCGCCTGACGCTCCGCACTTTGCGGGCCGAGGTCCGCAATTATCGGTACAGTCATGGCCCGTCGGTCTGTAACGACGTGCTTGGCTGGGATCGACCTGCTACGCCAGCTGGTATGTTTGGGTTACTTGTCGGGTTAAGCGTCGATATGTACGAGGTTAATCGGATGCGGGGTTAGGATTCGTAACCAGTTTATTGAATGATGCCAGGGAATGTCACCGACAGTGTGTGCCGTCGCATGCATGCATGTGGCCTGCCGCCTGACCAACTGACGATGAAAATTGGATTGCGCGCTGCGCTTTCCTGCCCTTTCCCTTTGCCCCGCCGTGACGCTAAATTCAAAGTCAACTCGTGCAAACGGCACCTGATCGACGGCTTACTTAACGGCAAGCCACAGTCCCCCGCAGGGGGACTGATCGGGTCACAGCTTGTTATCGTACCGGTCAGTGCATGTGTCTGCAGATGTACGAGGAGTTGTCCTGGATCGGACAGACGTACCCCTACGGATCTAGGCAGGCAATGATGACTCACAACAAAATGCATGCGCAGTCAACTTACCTCGTAAATGATACAAGCAAGCTAGACGCGTACGGTGCATGAGCTGTCAAATATCGCACGCGTGCTCATGCATGTCGAATGAGATCCGCCGCACATGTGGCACAGTTCCATGTATTGCATCATATCTCTAAGGGCCATGTAATGCTACCGATGGGCCGGAATGAGGAGGTTCTGCGTAATGGCGCATGCTGCAGACATATCACAGGATCGTTAAGCCGGCTATATTTGCAAGGCATGGAACCGTCTTCAATCGCGAGATCGATCTACAGTTTGGTGCACTTGCCGCGCCTGAGATTGATGGTGATCGATGCTCGAAACGTTCTGCTAGAACCATGTTGCCGGTTCCAAGCTTTTTCACCCAGTATATTACCAGCCGCAAATGACCAGAGCTAGTTCTCGACGAAACTTCCTGGCCGGCCCAGCCTGCACTGGACAAGCCTTCAGCCACCTAGGGAGCCCGCTTACCGTCTCTCTGGCTTGGAGGTACATGCACTTCAAACTTCATTCGCGATCGATGAAGCAAGGGCGTCAGGTCCGGTTGTCGAAGCTCCAATCCGTCGAGCCTCAAAAACCTCGATCTACAGCCGAAGGTGTGCAACACGTGGACACCGTCCACCAGGAGTCCGCGCCTGTGATATTGCCGGGGCAACGTCTTTTCGCTGGCCAGAGGCAGCAACAAACCCAGAAGGTCCGTGTTGGTCTTGCCCCAAGCTGATCGGCCGCTTTGCACGAAGATCATTCGAACCCAATAATTGGAGCCACGTGAACCTCGTGATGAGGAAGGGTTCTTTGAGCCTTCCACTCCATGCGCAGTTGCAGGCAATCCACGGTGCATTCAAAACTGGCACAAAACAGAAACTACACCCGTTAAACCCCAAACTCTGCGGCGGCCGCGTGAGGTTACACCGAGCCGGCCGCCACTGTTGCCCCCGCGGCCGCGCTCACCAACTTCGGACGGTAGTCTCTCAAGGTTGTCTTTGACTTTGTTCAACTCCAGACGCAGACAGGCGCAGACGTCAAGCAACAATAAGGAGCGGCGCATGAGCGGCGGAGTCCCCACGTCAGACGATCAAGGGAGGGTCCATTCCAATTATGCTTGACAAAGACGGTCAGCTAGCTAGTTAGGAAAAGCCATTACCCAATTTGCTAATCTACTGATCAGGCCTGACTTACTTCATAAACAGTTGTTGAGCTAAGAGCTACTGGTGCTTAATAGCAACAAGAAATGTCTAGTTCAAACGTGGTTGCCGGTTCGTCGTTGCCAAGTGCATTCTGCCGGCTGAGCAGACGTATCAGCCTTAGCATCCGTTCTTTTGAGCGGGTATCTAAGACCTACAGCAATTTGAGATTTCAGACAAAGTTGACAGCCGAGATTGATGCAAGCAGCATCATAGATTCGCGTTTCAGCCATCAGTACTGCCAAGTTCCAGTATTCCTGCGCCAATCACCTTCTGGCTTTCAAAAGCGCCCGGCCGGTTGCATGATAAACATTCCATCGAGTAATTCGAGTCAGATCTTTGGTAACGGGACCGTGAAAGTTGGATTGAACAGTAGAAGACTATCTCGGCATGCACGCACAATCAGGAAGACACAGCCATGTTCAACAAGAGCGGGCCCGGGAGACGTTTATTCTCTTGCAGCAGAAGTTGGAACTGTCTTTCTGGTCATCGGTGCACCGTTCGTGCTCATCTTCTTGGGCTTTTCCGCGCATAACAACGGCAAAGGTCCAAAGTGGTTGTACGATAGAGTACTCAACGTGCATGAGGCGGGTGCTCTGTACCTACGTCTGTGGCGTACGCGGGAGGCGAACCTACCCGTTCATTGCGGAAGTCATTGTAAGACAGTCACAGAAGGCAGCAATCACTTTCTTTACAGCTTCCACACTTCGATGAGAGTACTGAGCTGCTAGTCTGCAAGGTCTTGTTCATCCCCTTTTGAATAAGACAGGAGGTATATAACTTTGCAACACATTTGTTAAAGCTTCGCGATACTTGCAGGGTCTGACGCATAGTAAACAGGCCTGCTTTTGCAGATTGTATCCGTTCAGAGTCGCAAAGCCGGCACTAATTAAGCTTTCTGATGGCTAGTGTTAGCGCATGAATAGAGTGGCAAAGCATTTGGGAGATTGATCCGTTTTCCCGGAGCGACATTTCTGATGTGTTTTGCAGGTGCTCCGTTCATGGAACGTCCCGAAGTGGATTGCGTGTTCGACTGCTCAAGTGAAGCCATTCTTGTCGTAGGTCAGCCTACTGATTCTGCATTTGAAGCTTCTTGATGCCCGCGAGTCTGTTGACAGCTTTGGAGTTACACTCTCTGAGTGAAATCTTGGTTGACCAGATAGGTCCGCCATTATCTCGGTAATATGGATTCGATCGACAAGTCACAAAGGTAAGGTACCTGTGCCTGTAAGGATGTTGATTAAATAGGAACGTTGGAAGCGGAAGCAGCATGCAGGCTTATTGATTGCTGTTGTTCTCTGACGAAGGCCCTGCTGGTTGTGGGAAGAGCACGTGGTTAGAGCACCGGATCAGCGGCCGCAAAGGTGTGGCATTCTTCAGAGTCGATTGGCAGGAGGAGGTGGTCAAAGGTAGGTGCGAGGGGCTGAGACAACGGCCTTGAAGTGTCATTTGAAAAGGTGTCTTATCTCAATCTGCAAACAACATTGAAAGCGACAGATTTGAGGCCTCACCCTTCCAAAGATGCTTAATATCATGAGTTGTTGTGGCAGGTCAGTATAGGAGAATATGTCTTGCTGAGTACATCTAACAGGAGTTTGATGCAGGGCTTGGTTCTAATTGCATGGACAGTTTCTCGCACAGGGATGGATCCGTCCTCACCCTTCCTTGCGAAGACTCTGTCGTCGTTTGAGAAACGACACCGAGAGCGGGCCACCATCGTATTGGACGACCTTGAGAATGGTCTTCGGAAGGAGAAGAACGGAGAGCTTACTCTCTCCTGGGACGTTCTTCAAAGCATTCGCCTGCTCCTCTCGATGCACGCAAAAGGCTCGCTTCAGGTCATCCTCGTCACTTCAGACGACCGCGTGCAGTCGGTTCTCAAGAAAAAGCTAGGTAGAAGCGGCTTCTCATAAACTTTGACAGAGAGAAGCGGTCCTCCGGGAAGCTCCTGAGAACCGATCTTTGAATCTTTGCTCACTAGATCTGCCTTCGAAGACTGCGCTTGCTCTGCAACTTTGGGGGTTGCTCGCTGCCGTCAGCAACAGTGCCGCCAACAGTGACCGCTCTTTGCTCCCAAGTATCTATCTTGTTGACTGGATTTATTTCCCTGTCCCTTTGCAGAGGCTGGCCTCGCGAGGCTACTGAAAGTCCGGCACATCTCAATCCCGTCCATCCAGACATGGTGGATTATGTGACCAGAATGACAGCCTTGACAGACCAAGAGGCTGCAATGGCGGTTGAGGAGCTCAAGATCGTCGAGAAGGGAAGCATGAGGGAACTCTCAGAGTTCGTGGCGCACTTCATCTCGCTCGATCACGAGGAGGCGTCTGCCAGGCTGCCAGGTGCGTACGTTTGCCGCCTTTTCAACGGCCTGTACGTGCAAAGAGCTACCAATATATTTTAAATCAATCTCATGTTTGGCGTCCAGTTGGCGCCTGGCTAACCGTGTACGCGCGGGGCCAGGATAGACGGCCGCAGTGTGTGTGAGCTCATTTCCTTGTTCCGGCGGTTCTTGTGACTCTTGAACTCACGTGTCGTGTCCTCTGTTCGGTGAACCAGAATCATCCTCTTGAAGTTGACTCGCTTGTTTGTTACTTTTGATGCAGGATATCTTGACGAGCGAAGCAAGCTGCACAACCTGTAGTTGTTCAATCGCATGCGAAGGGTACGTAGGTGTTTCGTAGACCAGCGTGGATGTTTCGAGTGTCTGAGAAAACGTTTAGCGTCGGCATTAGTTCCGATGAACAACGCTTCCCGGATTGTCGCAATGAACTGCAGTGGGTAAGGAAGCAAGGGCTTCGAAACGAATCGTGCTTGCATCGACTGCTATTTGAGCCTCGAGGCCAGCATGCCTAAAGTGTTCAATGGTTTCAGCGTTCTAATGCCTATTGCATGATCTCATCTGGCTCGCATTCCAAGACGCTCAGTGCATGAGGAGTTCATCGATGCCAAAAATGAGATGCCAGCAGATCTTCGAATCTGGTGGAATCGATCGCACTGGTGTGTGCACAACTGCTCGCAATTCCCTCCCGTTTTGAATACACCTAAGCAACCTCTAGTCTAGAGCTCATTAATTTGGGACGAGTCAGCCAGCTTATAGCCTTGAGGTAACATGTGAGGGGTGTGCGGGAGTCCGTGGTCACATTTCAAGTGCATTAAATGATCAACCTACAGTAGACTGCGTGACTTTAGTACCTTTTCCAGCTCAGTGACCAGGGAGCTCTGAGCCCGGCATCCGTCATGCAAATGTGCCTTCCAACATCAACCACCTCAGAGCTGCGAGTGTGCTGCCGCCCGGCCGCGGAATGCGTGCGAGTTCAGACGTATTCGAAGCCCCCCATGCTGAACGTACTAGAGCGGCCCCGTGCGTGACTGCCTGCCATAACTGCCTCGTGACCATGCTAAGCTAAGTTTCAACTGGTGCTGTCTTCGAAGGCTGCGTAACAGCTGCCAGCCAGCCTGCAGCTCTCAATATGTAACGGTATACCATTCTGAGCATGCATCAACGGCCCACGCGGGCGCGCGGCCAAGTCCACGTGCAGCCGGCCGGATCGAAACGCGTTAGTCACGTGCACGTGACTAACGCCATGGCTCTATACGGATAGGCTCTATCAATCATGTGACGCTGTGACCGATCGACTCTTTTGTCAGTTGTGCATAATGTTACAGATCTGTTGATCTCTGCAAGACGAGCTTCCCATGAATGCTGTCCAGCTTTCAAGGAGAAACGGAATAATTGAAGGCGGAAAGATGCTGCAGCTCACGACTTAACGTCAGCTGCTCCTGCTGCGCTAGCACGTCTACACTCCACCTTGTGCCCCTCCTTCCAGGCCGCCACCTGGCACTCCTTCGAGCAATACTGAGCACGTCTGCACCCACTGCACGTCTTTACCGCGACGCCGCTTGCACCGCACTTCGAGCACCGCTTGGACCCATGGAGCCACCCCCCCTTCTCCTTCACAAAACCGAGAGTTTCGACCGCGGCCGTGAGTTCCATTCTCCAGGTTCCCGGCCACTTCCCATTGATGAACACGCTTTCTGCGAGGAAGATCTCCGACGCTTCCTCCCCACTGTCTGCTTTCGAAGCCTCTGGTGCATCTTGCACATCACCTTGCTTCTGCGCCCGCTCGTCTCCGCTTTTTCGATCCATTTCCCGGCCGACACCAACGACGAACCCATGCAAGACCTGGTGCACGACTTCAGCGAGTTTAGGCCCCCCTTCGAAGGTGGGGACTTTGGTCTGGTCCAGCAAAATGTCCACAATGTGCAGCCGTTGCTTGGCAGCCCCGACCTCCTTGTCCCGCTTCCGGACAAAGACGACGGCTCCGACAGAATACGGCCACCGCTGTCTGCGCGGCAGCACGAGCTGGCCCGTCTGGAAGATCTCGTCGTACCTCTTCGCCTGCATGAGAAGGTCCACAAGAGGTTCAATCCATCCTGGTTGTTGTCTATGAAGGATAAAACGTATAGTTCTGTATGATGTAGTACCCTGTTCCAGGAGCGGGACTCTACAGTAGCATAACATGGATGTCGGCTTCAAGCATATGAGCTTTCAGGGCCTCCTGTGCCGCAGGGGTTCAGCGGTGTTTTTTCTTAGCTGCAAATCTGTATCATGCTACAGTCGCCTTTTCAGACGACTCACCCTTGAGGGTTATCCGACCACAACGTTGGCCCCAAAGTTTCAATATGATACAGGATGCTTGCTCTGCTCCTAACAGGTCCCTGGCAAGTCCCTTTTCACGATCCAATCAGCTTACGGCCTCTTTGTCATACGTTGCGCACTCAAAACACACTGATGAACCTGTCACAAGCACTGCGGGCAGCTTCCATGCCAAGAACAACAAGAGGTTTTTGAACCACCTGGGAACTACAAATTCGACCAAGATTGTAAGCACATTCAAATAACTTCCTAAGCATTTCCACCCTGTTGTCAACCATGCTTTATTGGCGCAGAGGAGGTTGTCCGACAGATGGAGATCTCAATATATGCTACTGACTTGAAGCATGCGAGCAAAGCTTACTTTGCCTGCACCAGTTGATTGTCAGAGAGAGTCTTAAAGCAATTTGAGTGAACACGCCCTTTTGCTTTGGCCGACGCCGCCTAAATCCTCTGGCGCATGACTGATTTGTGATCCACAGCGCATAGAACATTGAAACCATTGCAATGCACTGCACGGAAAGGCGACTCCTCACCTTTAGCAGGTCTTTTGTGGTCTCTGTCCAGCATTGGCCTCCGTTCTCATCCCTCGCCGGACAAATCACCATCAAATTGACTTCGTCTGCATCTGATGCGCCAGCTCGTTTGACGCGATCCCCGCCTGGAAACCCGATCGCGTTCCCACGAATGTTGTACCCATCGTCCTTGAAATTCAGGCGCATGAAGAGGAAGTCGCCCAGTAGGGCATGCGTCGCATTAATTAATTTGTAGGGAGAGTACAGCTGAGAAGAACAGCGATTCAGCGAACCTCTTTCTGTTTCCAGAGCCAATACGGGTTGACATTGATAAACAGGGGCCAGGAACCCAATAAGGTATTGCGGGTCTTTCACAAACGACGTGCATTCAGAGTAGTTATCAAAGTGCAAAGCTGACTTTGAATCAGAGAATCCCCTGTCAACTTCCGCCCTGTCGATCTGCACATTTCGAAGGAGGAAAGATAAGAGAAGAGGGCAGTAAAGATTGGTCCTTTTCTGCAGAGCGATTGCAGGCACTAAAAAAGAGACTTTTCAGTGTTGTGAATAAAGACTGTGATAAGAGAAATGAGGCTTAATGAAACGCACGACCAGTTCTTGCTCTTGTCATTAGATGCAGAATCAGATGCCATCTACTTTCATTACATTCGGCCGAAGCTCTTCCTTTAAGATAAGACAAAAAGCAGGGTCGAACTCTCAAACAATGCATTACTTCCCTGTTAGCTCTCAATGATGTGCTTTCATCAACTCGTACCAAGATAAGATGAGCAATCAAACTGGTGCACTGAAAGAGTGATTGGCGGTGCGGCTATGCGCTAACTCTTCTACGTAGCTCTCGGCAATTGGTCTATGGAACCCGTATCTACAGAGCACTCACCAGAGCCGATTGCTTGGTTGATGAGGACAGTCCTCTATCTTGACGCCCTCGTGCAAAGGGCCAGAACAGCTTGAGTGTCTCTGAAACACCAACGACTTCAAATCCCAGCACCAGACTCAACGCAAAAACCACTGATGAAATTCAGTGCTTCAAGTTGCAACCTTACGGCCACAGAATGAAGAAGATAAGGTTGGAATTTGATTCTGGGGGCAGATATCTGGAACTAACCAGAAAGAAACTCACCTTCCACAGTCCTTTTCCCTCCTCTGTCCTGGGAAATGGCTCTAGAAACCCCACCACCCAATCCTTTCTAGAATGCAGCCTTTTGTAGTCGTTCACTTCTCCTTCTCCAGGCTTCATAAGAATAAGCGAGTTGATGTCCAACCCCCCAGAAGACGTGTATGCCCTGCCCGCCTTGATTCGTCCCACCCCCCTCCATTTCAACGCCAGCGCCGGCTGAATGTAACTAACCTCCCCTGAAGCAATTTGTGGGCTGTCTGCTTGTGGTGGACTCAGGCTGGACATGAAGTCCCACATAGTTTGGTTCCCATCTGCTACGGCAATGCGGTCGAGGAGTCCGTGCACCAGTGGGTGTGATGCCAGGTTTCTATCCCTTGCAGCCATGCGGCTGAGGATGTCTTCCTTCCACCCAGACTCAACCATCTTGCGTCAGCTTCTTTCTTAGGTTGCCGTAATATGTAGTAGGTCAATGAAGTGAGACACGACAATGTAAATACCTACACTTGCTGGGAGCCAATAAAAGAGCTACGGTTCTGAACCAGGTACGGTACTACTAATAGTAACGGTAGCGTGTAGGAAAGCTGCTGCAACAGCTGCGAAGAGCGGTACTGGTGTGGTGTGCCGGCCTCCGGGGCGCTATGGCTCAGCATTTGGCATGGCATTCTCGAACAACCTCTGGAGTCTGCCAATGCAGGCAAAGCGGACTGGCCCATATTTTGAATCAGCATCCTGTCCCATCGACGGTCAAAGCCCCACAACCCCAGATCGACGGCTCTGAAGAGAGCATGCTGCATACACCCTACAGTAGCGGTAGTGCTCAGTGAGCGACCAATGAGTTAAGGCCTTTTCTATAGCAGTCGCTCAAAAACCACTTTTGGCCACACACCGGCCGTCACCGTCCAAATTCTGTTCTCACTAATCGACGGCTTTCGCGGTGACCAGGAAGCCCGCTGTCAAAGCCCTGCTCATCCGTTGGAAGGCCGGGCGCGCATTGGCGCGGCCGGGCCGCGCGCGTTCGACAGTAGCGCTCCATTCTGTCCATTGAAGTGTTGCTTGAAGTCGTTGAAGATACTACATAGGTAGTACCGTGGTCCGGACTAAACTTTACCTGTCTAGAGCTCTCACCTGGACTGTCCAGAGAGACCTGAAATCTGCTGAAAACGTTTTGTGGTCACTGGTCCAGTTCGGTTTAGCTGCAGCCAGAGCTCCAAGCTACCTTGGCATTTGAATTTCATTGCAAAAATCATGCACTTAGTGGGATCCACCCCTTGGCACGCACCCTTCGCTTCTCTGATTCTCAAAGGGCGCGGCGGCAAAATCTGAATCTAGGTCACTGGCTGTGTATACACGTCTGAGATCACAAAGTAACACAAATGCGTGTGTTTGCACATGCACGGTACATTGCTTGCATAGCTCTAGAAGTCTAGATGATTAACAACACCGCTCAACCTGCCACGACAGTTATGTCGCCGGCCGCACAACATGCTAACACACCGTTGTGCATGTAAGAGTATTTAAAATTGCAGATTAGTCCGAAGTGATGTTATATTTTAAATTTGATTCACTGTGTATGACCGCACTGATTTAGTACCGTGAGCTTGTAAGACCTTGGCTACAATTTCGGGCCCCAGAACACCAGCTAGAGTCTCAAAGACCGGGGGACAAATAGTACAATTGAAGCTAGAACTTCCGACTGAAGAGAGGAGGTTGAGCAACAGCTGCTTTGCAAGCAATAGAGTTCCCGTGACTTGGACAGACAATTAGGAGACGCGGTCGCAAGAACATGCAAGCGAGTTGGTCGATCCAGCTCGAGTCACAGGGCAGTGTCTTACACTAACTAGTATCGTTGAGCCGACAGTGACACGCGACTGTACAGATTTGCGATTCTCAGAGTCCCTACCGTGATTGTCAAGGTAATATATTGCTCTTTATGTCAAGTGCATACGTGCCACACCATGTCGCACACATATTGCGGCGTTTCGATCTCTCACACACGAGTTCCCATTGATATGACCTTTCTAGGAAGCGAGTAAATTTGTGCAGACAAACTATGCTACAATCTATGATCCATCCTGAGCCGCCGCTGCCGAGTTAGCACGTTTACACTCCGCCTTGTGCCCCTCTTTCCAGGCCGCCATTTGGCACTCCTTCGAGCAGTAGTAAGCACGTTTGCACCCTCCGCACGTCTTGATTGCTATGCCGCTTGCGCCGCACTTCGAGCAGCGCTTAGACCCATGCAGCCACCCTCCCCGCTCTTTCACAAAACCGAGACTTTCGACTGCGGCCGTGAGCTCCGTCCTCCAATCTCCAAACTCCAGCCACTTCTCGTTGATGAGCACGCTGTTTGCAAGAGAGATCTCAAGCGCTCCCTCTCCACTGTCTGCTTTCGTAACATCTGGTGCATTGTGTGCTTCGGTCGGCTTCTCCCCCCGTCCGTCTCCGCTTTTTCGATCCATTCCCCGTCCGACACCGACGACGAACCCGTGCAAGACCTGGTGCACGACTTCGCCGAGTTTAGTGCCCCCTTCGAAGGTGGGGACTTTGGTCTGGTCTAACAGGATGTCCACAATGTGCAGCCGCTCCTTGGCAGCCCCAGCCTCCTTGTCCCGGTTCCGGACAAAGATGACGGCTGCGGCAGAGTACGGCCACCGCTGCCTGCGGGTGCGCGTCACAACGAGCTGGCCCGACTGGAAGATCTCGTCATACCGCTTTGCCTGCAAAGAGTCACATAGCTTTTCAATCAATCCTAAACGTTGGTCCATCACCGATAGAACCGTTAATCAAATATCTTATCGCAGGAGCGGGAAAGCCACTAACAGAACTTGATTGATGACATGCAGCAGTCAGGACTGATCTGCTGTCCCAAGAATCTCATGCGTCCACATCGCCCTAATTATGAAAACGGCTATGTTGCAAAAAAGGGCAAATGTTCTTGCCTTTAGCAGGTCTCTTGTCGTAGTCGTCCAGCAATGGCCTCCGTTCTCGTCCCTTGCTGGACATATTACCATTAACTGGACCTCGTCTGCATCCGATGCGCCAGCTCTTTTTGCACGATCCCCGCCTGGAAAACCAACCACGTTTCCACGAATGTTGTACTCATTGTCCTTGAAGTTCAGGCGCATGAAGAGGAAGTCGTCCAACAGGGCATGTGTCACTGCCTGCGGATAGCAATCCATATTCTGAGATTCTTGAAGGTCCCTGATACCTGTAAGAGAATCCTGAGTACTTGCGCAGATTCTACCAAAGGATACAGCGAGTCGGCGACTCTCTTCCTAGTCTACTAGAGAAATGAAGACCTGTTGAAGCTGACAAAGAGGGCCAAAAATGTTGCTGCGGGGCATTCACCAGTTTGTCACTCAAAATAGTAACAACGTGCGCATTTGCTTTGGAAATTGAAGATCCTGACATGCCCAGTGAAAATAGTGTTGAGAGTATAAAGAAGGAGAAAAGACGAGTTAGCAGTAGATTCCTGTTGAGCCAATCAATTGCAGACGAATACTCTCTTCCGGCGTAACGAGAAAATGATCTGTTGGGAAAAATATTGGAGAAGCGTTCAAAGAAACACAATGCAGGATCGGCCACTTGAGGCGCGTCAAATCAACCTGTTACGAGATGCAAAGCCTCATGGCTTTTAGTTCCTCCTGGTTTTAGAGACGCTCTCTATTTGATGGACGACAAGAGCAGGGTGAGTCCATCAGATTGCAACTGCACGATCCTAAGGCTCATTTAATGCACTGCTATCAAGATGTACCAATGTAGGTATAGCGGGCACTCAAGCTGCTGTATCGAAACAGTGATTGCCACCTGTAGCATTGCCCTTCAGTACACCTCCAATTAGCTCTCGGCACTTGGGTTTATGAAACCCAAGTATTTATCAAGCCCAATTGTTGATCTTGAAAGGTATTGTTCGCTAGCTACCCATGCAATTCTTGAGTGAACAGGGTATCTCTGAAATACCAACCACTCCAAGCCCAATAACCTCAAAAAGAGTAAAACCACTAAGAAACCACAATGCTGCAGCCATACAGTCAGCGTTCACCATACAAAGTAGACAAGGATAAAAGAAGATGGGCGCAGGCAGAGAGGAACCAACAAAAAAGGAGACGACAATGCCACCTTCCACGCTGCCTTTCCCTCCTCCGTTCTAGGAAGTGGCTCCAGAAACCCCACCACCCAGTCCTTTCTAGAGTGCAGCCTCTTGTGATCATTCACTTACCCTTCCCCAGGCCGCATTAGTGCCAGCGAGTTGATGTCCACCCCCTCAGAAGACCTGTATCCCCTGCTCGCCTTGACTCGTCCCACCCCTCGCCATTTCATCGTCAGCACCGGCTCAATGTATTGAACCTCCCCCGGAGCAGTTTGTGGGCTGTGCGCTTTAGGGGGACTCAAGCTTCCCATGAAATCCCACAGCGTTTGGTTCCCGTCTGCTTCAGCCATGCGGTCAAGGAAATGATGTACCCACGCGTGTGACACCAGGTTCCTATACTCCCCTGCGGCCAGGTGGCGGAGGACGCCTTCCTTAAACCCAGGCTCAGCCATTCTGCTTCAGCTTGACTCTTAAGTTGCCAACAGGAGGTCAAAGACAGCGAGAAAGGTAGTGAGAGTGAGCCTGCTAGGCGCCACTCAGAAGGGAAAAACCGGCGGCGCGCTCAGCACAATAGCGCTCAGCGGCCGCAAGCTAAATACCTGAAGATCGTAGGTTGAATCACATTCCCTCAGCCATGCGCGCCTCTTCCGAAACCTAGCATCGCATGCAGCCCTCTGCAGGAGCGGCGTCTTGCGAGTGGTGCTCAACTTCTGCTGAGGGATTCATCCATGATGAATCTTTGATGATGCCCCCGCGGCCCTCGAGTCTGATCCAACTCTGGACTCTGAGTCTGAGGTCAGGCTCATCATTCTGCTGCAGCCTGCAGGCTGATCAATTTTGAATTAGCAACCTGTCCCATCGACGGCTGTAGCCCTAGGTAGAAGCTTGGACGGCAGCAAATGGACTCAGGTGAACTCGGGTCGACGACCTTTGACCGTCCAAAGAAGCAAGTTACTAATCGACGGTGCAATGATCAAGACATCGAGCCTTCGAAACCCAGATGCAGGCGCGGCCGCGTGCAAGGCCGCCATGAGGAGGCTATATACGAGGAGGTACGTTGTCAAAGGTGAGGAGAGAAGGAGGAGAGATACGAAAGAAGGCTCCGATTTGAAGTGCTCGTTCAAATGAAAAGCGGGTCCGTCACTCGTTCAAAGAAAGCGTCGATGTCGTTAATATCTTTTGGAGCAAAGTTGCGTGTCCGCGAACCTTGTGGAATGCTGCCCGCAGGCAAGCCAAAAATATGTGCGATGGGGCTGCTTGAAGTCAAAGGGTTCGAGGACGTGGCCCGAGTGATGCACCAATAGTGAGAATATTGTCTTCGCAGGACTTGATCCATCATCGCCACTGTTGAAGAAGATCCTGTCGCTGTCTGACGCCAAGGACCGAGAGCCGGCAACTATTATTCTGGACAATTCAAAGAGTGGCCTCTCTAAAAACGAGGATAAGGATTGGGAGCTCTCGTGGGATGCCGTCGCGAGCGTCCGCCTGCTCCTCCGTCTGCACATCAGCGGGCTGGCCCGGACGATCCTGGTCGCTTCAGACGACCACGTGACCTCCAATCTCAAGAAAGAGCTAGGCGAGCAGGAAGCTTCTTTAGGAACGACCTTAAAAAGCCATAGCCCACATGAAGCAAGGCCCCGGAAAAAGAGGCACCTGAAGTTGCCCTACTTCATATAGACTTGCAGATGACATTTAACCATTAGATACGGGGAGGTTTCTAAGCAGCAACTTTCTGGCGTTTGGTGAAATTCCGCCTGTTGTACTGATACAATTTTTCAACACCTTCGAGTTCCTGCTTTTACAGATTGCGACCTGACGAGAGCGCTGAAGTAACACTCGTCTCGATGCCAAGTTTGCAAGAGATGGCGGACCACGTGACAAGGATGACGTCACTGGCTGAGCAGCAAGCAATACTGGCGATCAAGAAACTCAAGATTGTCCAAAAAGGAGGCATGAAGGAACTTTGCGAGTTCGTTTCCCGCCTTGTCGCACTCGACCGCCGCGAGGAGGCATCTGCGAGGCTCTCAGGTAGGAGCAGAATGATCGAGGAGTCGATCCAGGACAAATTGAAAAGCGTCGTCACGTCCCATCACTTCAATCTGTCTCTCCGGTTGACTGGCTGAGACTGAACGAATTGAAGCATGACGTTGAATTGGAACAATTTTGTCGCATGTAAGCCGTTTCTTAGTACATTTGATCATTAGCCCTTCAAGAAAATCCGCTGTGTATCTGGCTGAACGCTAGAAGCGCGCTGCGGGACCTTTGATCAGCGCCTATTGCGGTCCGCATCCAGTCCGTTCAGGCGGCCCAGGTGGACAACCCGATTCTCTCAAGGAACGCGTCCAAGAAAGATATCAAAGACTGTAGAAGGTTGGGCTCTTCTTTAGTTAGAAAAGTCAGTTGGTAGGTTAATATTGTAGACCTGATCACAGCTCCAGACATAAAGAGTCCTGCAAAGCACCGTCAAAAGACCCCTTTCGTGTCGTATTGCAAATCTCTTGGACAGTTTCTGTCGTCAAGTGCTCAAAGAGCGCCCAGCCCGTGTCTGCTAGCTTAGACAAACAATTAAGTTACAGGATCTACAATCAACATATCGACCACCGCTTGAGGTGCATTTCCAGCGCCTCTATAGCAGTGTGGCGAGGCCACTCAGGACGCTGAGCTGGGTTTGGCAAGTCAGAAGTCAACATGAGTGCGTGCTCATGATCGAATCCATGCGTGCTCCAGCAATTGTATTCAAAAAGCTAGACCTCTCGGCCCGGCGACTCTATGCATAATTTCCATGTGACTTGTCATTATGAGATTTGTACGTAGGCACCTCGTAGCGCTCGCTCGAACAAAGCGCAGACGCAGCTTACAGAACCATACATGCTTTGTTTGTCTTCATCTGTATTTCTCAGAGTTGCATACAACATTGAACTGCAAGCAGTCCGGGTTACTGTGAATGTTGCCTGAAATCAGATCAAATTGCTCGCCATATCAAATTCACAGGGAGTAAAGTAGAATTTGCAACGACAAGCTTGCGCCGCTTATTCGCCTCCTAAGGCTCAACGTGTTCCTGTAACAGGGCAGTCTAGACGTCAAGCCCAAGAGTTACCACATTCATCTTCGCCGTTGGTGCTCCCCTAAGTCCTGCTACGTACCGGACCTGCAAGACACGGACTATGCCTTATTTGCAAGATTTTGCATGATAAGAATGATTTGGCCCTTAGCTGTGCAGGGGACAACACGTCATTGGACGATACCTGAAGTTGTCATCGAATGCACGATTTTGTCTGCGGTGAAGCCCACTGGAAAATTAGCAAGGGGCTCAGCAGATAAGGCTTTTCCCCCTAAGGATGTATTGACCAGGGCAGGAGTCCCAGGAAACTCCACCTAAACTGAAAAGAGTCCTCCTTGTAAGCGAACGTAGTATGCTCGACTAGATCAGCATAGAGCTTTTCCTCCGATATTCTCAGTGGCCACATGAGGAGACGTGTATGCGATAGTACGGAGTTGTTGTCACCCGCATCCACTCCCTATCCGACAAGTCGCAATTGCGCCATCCTTTTCAATCATTCTCCGTCCCCTCACCTTTTTGGTCATCTTGTTGGTCCCAGCAATCCCACTCTGCGTGGCCGCCTCCTTGGGCAGCCGCACCTGCGTCTCCCCGTCTCGTCTGAAGTGACTCAGGTTCGTCTGCGCGCTGTGCGTGGCTTTGGTGCGCAGGTTCGCGAGCTGCAGCGCGCGCCGCCGCAGCGCCCACTCGTTCCACTCGTACTTGTGATCCAAATGCTTCTCCACGAAGTGCGTCGGGGTTTGCGTGCCGAAGTCGCACTTCAGAGGCGCAGCGAGGGACTACAGGAAGAACAGCGAGTTGCTTAGATAGGAGAAAGACGTTCGTGCAGCGCATCGGACGTATAAAATGCTTTCGGGAGACCAGAGGCATGGTTTACTAGAAGCGAGAGCTCTTGTTGAGTCCTAGGGTCCTTTCGATGGCTGGTCAGGATTACCAGATTTCGGCTTCGTCTTTTTATCGCCATAGTGCCAAAGACGGCCCGGTCGTGTCCAGTAAGCGAGCAGAAGCTTCCTATCAGAGGGCCGACATAGATCGCATCTTTCACAACTGTGCAGGTTCCGGCGAAAGCTACCGTAGACGTGAAACGACGCGGTGAACGCAACGCTTCTAGCAGTCGCACTGAAATTCAGGTTGACGCGCAAGAATCAGAGCCACCTTCAGCTTTGATTGAGAGTATCTTATGTCACTCCAGCCCACACTCACGGTTTTACCACGAGGGGTGTGTAAAAGGTCAGGGTAGCATACCTGCGCAATCTGCCGGATGTTCAGAGAGGGAAAGGAGCTCTGCAGGCCCAAGAGCCTGACAAGCTGGGGATGCGTGGCGACCAGGACATGGACCGACTCCAGAAATGCAGCTGGACTGGCGGCAAAGCGGGACAGGCTGTCGCCGTCGAGAAAAGAGTATAGCGCCCCGCTGAACTTGACGTATCCTAGACCCGGGTTACCTGCATGTGAAAGGGCTGTATCGCGTTCTTATCCTCTCAAAACGCAGCTTCAAGGAGGTCGAAATCCAAAGGACTCGGATATTTGCGACATCCCGTGTGTCAAGTGCTGCTGTCACGACTTAAAAACCTCCAGCTTGATTGGCAACGCATGAGAGAACTGGTATACAAAAGCTTCCTGCCGGAAAGCCTCGGATTACAGACAAGCACTCTTCAGCGATCCGCGGCGGCTGCATTAGATTCAGTCGGGGCATCCGACCTGGCACTATGAGAAGGACAAGGTTGAAAAGTCGTATTCCAATTTCGAGGAGAATCTGTAGTCCATTTACAAGGACAATCTGCATTCGAATCACGAGGCGAATTAGGCGAAGACGACTTGCCGTCGAAGCTTGGTTAAACAGACAGTTCACAACGGATCCAAGTGAAAACTCGTCAGCAGCCAATCAAAGAATCATCTGTTACACGGATCACCTCGTAACGGTAGTCCGTTCCGCCTGACCAGCGTCACTGGACAAAACCCCGCCAGCTGTGGGACGATCGCTGCCCCCTCTTCCGCCGGAATGTCATCTGGCCGCACGCGCGCACTGCCGGACGCTGCCTCGGCTGCCGCCAAATCGTCGGGCGTCCGAGGGCCTGCGTCGTCCAGCAAAAGGGGCGCTGGGGTCCCGCTCCGGCCGTACGCCTCTTGCACGTCGGCGTAACCGTACTGAGACGGGAACGGCTGGGGAGCGAACAAAAGGGGGTTGTCAAGACGTTGACAACTAGCGGCTTTATGTGCGAGGGCCATGATCTCGGATGTTTGTAAAAACCTGCGAAGGGGAATGGATATAGGCTCAACCAGAACGTCCTTCGCTCGACGAGGGCCAGATAACGCGGACGAACAGAAGAAACAAAGATGCGGCCATCTCATTTGGCAACCTCTTCTCACTCACAGAGTTTTATGGCCTCATCTCGTGACCTCGCTATCCCGGAAATCGACGGCGCAAGCCCATTCCCCAACCCTCCAAGCCACTTCAGATCTCCCTCCTTAGGAGCTCGCGTGATCACCCACCTGCCGCCACGTCAGCAGCTCCCCGGCCGCGCCCTCGCGCGCCTCCAGGACGCGCATCTCCTCAAGGAGCACCGTGTGGAGCGTGCCGAGCGCGTGTAGGTGCGGAAACACCGTATCCTTGGGCACCGCGTGCTTGGTCCCGATCGCCGCCTGTAGTACGGCCTGCATCTCGCCCTGCTTGGCTTCGAGCTCCGCCACAATGGCGAGGCCCTCCGTGTTCTCGCGGGCGACGTTCTCGAGCATTTGCTGGTACTGACACCTGAGAGGAGCAGGACAGTTTGTCACGAGCTGTAGTTTTCCCGGCGAGGCGAGATCTTGAGAGTTTGTCGGATTCTCCGAAGGGTGACAGATACTCTGATCCGGAGGTTAGGTGAACTTCAGAGGGAACTTCGTAGAAATTTTTGTAAAAGAGCCCATCAAAAATCCGCTGTCAGTCCGCTTCGCAGCGGAGATCCTTATCAAGGTTCCGTGCAGCGTATTCTTACCGTGGTGGTAAGACTGCTTTCGCATTGGCACAAGATCTATTGCGCAAAGGAGTCCACTACATGAACGGCTGGGACGCCGAAAGGTGCGCGGGGCGCTCACCGGTACACCAGCTCGTCCCTGAGCAGCTTCACCTCCTTTTCTTGTGTCCGGTAGCGCTGCGCCCGGTGATTGATCACCGCCGTCCCCTGCTCAATCTGCTTGGCCACCCACGTCAGCTCTTGGTCCAGCCGCTCTGCGAGCGCCCTGCCCCGGGCCTGGTACTGGCTGGCCCCCATCTCTAACCCGACGCCCCCCTTGCCCAGAAACTTGTTTAAGACCCGGATACCCAGCGTGATCGTTGCCAGCTCCTGTAGTGAGAACGGAAACTTTTCGGCGGCTGAAGGTTTGGGATATGGCTGGTGATGACGTGATGATGAGCCGGCCTCTAACTTGGACTAATTTTCGCTTGAGAAGGAGCGGTTGCTATGTGGATTTCCGGCCTTGTCGTTGACTTGCGTAGAGGGAATTTGGTGTTCCCGTTAGAATCACGTGATGATGAAGAGAAGCCATAACGTCTCCCAGACGGTCAATTTGCCACCTTCTACAAGCACTATGCTTCAGAACGCAGGGGGGAGAGATTCTTTTACTTGCCTGCAGCTGTGCCGCTTTCTCATTCTTGCCAAATGTCATCCACCGCCTCAGGTTGTGCCACGGGAAAACGCTTTCCAGGGCGGCAGCCGTTTCTGCTTCCGCAACAGCCGTGGTTGGAGTGTCCGCTAAACCTGTTCGGAGCCCATTTCTCAACGCGACATACTCAAACACCTTGAGCTGTTCTTTCTGTAGCGCCACAGCCTCCTCCCTTTCGGTCACGACCTGTGAGACACCAATGGAATGTCAAGAACCCACCAGATCAAGAGATGGCGAGCCTCGGTACTGAAAGTAGGCCGCTCGATTGGCAATGAGGATTTGTAGAGAAAATGATTGAACGGTATTGGCTTCGAGCCAACCAGCTGAACAGAGAGCTCGAGGCAAGTTGACGATCTCGCGCAGGATGCTTCATCGGGCAATGCTTGCGTTTTGAAAAGCAGAGGTGGTGTTCCTCGCAGTCTTGCTTACCTACCGCACACCCAAGAGGTGTACTGCTCAGAATTTAGAATAAGCACCACTCTTCAGGGGAAAATGCTATCCAGCTTTTCCGGAAGGAACTCAGTACAGGAGCACAGTTGGTTGCGTACCTTGATCTGCACTGCCTCGTTCAGCGCGCTTTGGGCGGTCTGGTCTCGCTGGACTTGTTCTGCCTCGACAGCTTGGCCTTCTCGTAGGAAAGTGGCATCAACAGCCACTTGTAAGGCCAGTGTCTCTGTAGCTGCTGACTCTTTCTGCACAAAAGATCAATCAAACCGTTTTTAATAGAGAATCCCAGTCGGTACCCTTAAAAATATGAAAAACTCTGCCCGCATGTCTGTGTGCAAATATACAGACAGAATGTTTCAAATCAACCAGATTCCAATAAGAGAGTAGGTTGCCTTGTTAGAAAGGCAAACTTCCAGATTAGGAGCTCACTCAAGAAGTGGTTCAATGGGCGTCTCCTGCACCCCACTTGGTAAGTATACCCATTCAAAAGGGACTTCTTGAAGACAGGGGTAAAACCAATGGCATCAAACATCTCAGCTCGATTGGCCGCAGCAATTCCAAGCCCAACATATGTCACGGCTGCAGCTCCTTACTCGAGACAGCAGCTCGACCCCCCTTCGCACGCACTGCTCCCAGGCGGTGTCATCCAGCTTGGCCTCCTTCTGCATGTTCTGCAGCAGGACAGCCCGCACTGTGTACGCAGCCAGCATCTGGGAGATGGCGCGCCCCTGCTCCCGGCAAATGCGGATCACCTCCGCAGCGGCGCGTCGATGTTGTTCCTCCATTATGCTTCACTGCAGTACACGCTCCCCTGCAGTTTACGCTCCCCTGAAGCTGAGGTGTCTGGGCACGCTCTGCGCTCTTTTGTTTCGGGATCAGACCTTCGTAACGCTCCTGATCAGCATCTCAAAGTCTGTGGCAGGACATCTGCAGCGGCGTTGGGCTACAAAAGACACTGTCCTTTTGCGGTAAGCATGCCAGCCTAATGACATGTAGCAGAGAGGTTTGGATCAGTGGCTATGAGCAAGTAGTACGAGAACTGGATCCTCCAGCAGATATTCTCCAAGAGTGCGCACTTTCAAGAGGAAGATTGCCGGTGAGGCTCGACAGCAGCGACTGAGCCCGCAATGGTGAGCTCTCGGTCAGCTGTTGCGTGTGCTAAGCTGGTACCCCAGCCATATACTGGCAGAATGCCCGTAGATAAGCCAAGAAGAGCACGCAATTGCATAATGCTTTTCAGTGGCCGGAACTCAAGCAAAGCCCTGCATCCTACTCAGTAGCCCTCACCGCTTCAGCCTTCCACTCCTCGTTGAAAATGCTCTAAGCCACCTTGAAGACGCACGCCAGACTTTTAAACTTGATGCTCCGATCAAGCAAGCGAGCAAGCCTTGCTACATAGGTATATTATTGCATTTTTGCTTGGTTCATCAAAGTGCATGGGCGTCTCGGGACCCTGAACGCCTGACGTCACACAGCGACATCGAAGCATGGTTTTATGGTGGTCTGTCGCCAAGAAGTTGGTATCAGAGGTTGTGCCCCTTGCACTGGGCCCTGCTAAAAGTGGCCGGTTGATGACGTTGCGTAGACGCCCTCTTTAAGCTGACTTTGCGTGCGGCCGACTGAAATCACCCACCACGCGCGCGGAACCGAATTATGCATAACTTTGGTATTACGCGCCTAGAATACAAACCGTCAAAACTGACCGAGCCTCGCCGACGCCCCCGGGCCTCGTGCTCGCCTGACGACGCGCGCACAATCCAGGCCCCCTTCAGGACCTGGCAAAGCTGGCGACGACAAGGTGTTGGGGTGTCGTTCCTCAACACTTAACTCCTTCACATACGATAGATGTACTTTCAGCCGCCAGTAGCAGCTGGTTTTGGCGGAGGTATTGGAGCAGTGAAGGCATCATGCTTTCTAGGAGCAAGCAGGGAGCGTCCCTTGCCCGAAGATCGTTGCAATACGCTGTTCGGCAAAGGGCGCCGCAGGTGAGGCCCTCGGATTTTGCGAGCTTTCTGAAATACGGAAAGCGCTTGCTCCTGTTGCTACAACAATTTGTTGCATGTCCTTGAAATCTTAAGTGCCTGACGCCAGAAGTTGCTTGCAGCTTGCGAGTCTTCACGGCCCTGAGGAGGTCCGCTATCAAGTCGGGGGCCAGCGGTCGCTCAGTTTCATCAGGGACGTCATCAACCGTGTAAAGGGCGAAGTTGAGAGGTGCGTGACCTATTCTGCTTCCTACAGATCTGCCACGTATGTCAACGAGCGGTGGTAACTGTTGGTTGCTGCACTGATTGCGCGCTGCGGAAAGGACGCATTCGACCCATCGCTGGCGTTATTACTATCTGCTGTTCGGCCGTGCACTGGGTTATTGAGCAGAGTTTCAGGTACAAGTTAGATCTGATGGGCTACAGCTTAGCCGGTGGAAGTGGCTGCCCGAATGATAGTTGTGGTTGGGGCAAGCGCTTGCCAGTCCGATGAAAGGGTGGTGTGCCTCAGCGTCTTCTATTTTGGCGGATGTAATGAGCGATCGGCCCGCTTCTGGACTTACCGTGTATCCATGAAATTACGGAGTATGGCATGAGCAGCATTTGTTTTTCTGTGCAGCAATCCGGAGTTGCGGCAGTCCATCAAGGAATTCCGTGAAAGGACAGAGGGCCTGAGAAAGAGGTGAGCGAGTCCTACCACCACTGGTCACATCTTCTTACATGCCTTGATGAAAAGAAGGTGGTATCTGGCTGCTTGCAGTACCAATTTCTTGGCCTTCTCACGAGCATGTCACTTTGTAAGATCTGTAAGTGCGTCATCCTGACTTTATTGTGTTATCCAGCACCAAGGAGACGCTCGAGAAGGTCGACGCAGCCAGCAGACAGGCTGCCGCCAAGGCAAAGGAGGTAAGGCGCCAGTCTCTTGTTTCCCCCTTTTTGATAACCTCTTCCCTGTAGAATGTCCAATTGCCGGTTTGATCACACCTCCTATTTGTGGTCGCTCTCCAACACCGGCTGTTGTCCTTTTGGTTGACCGTTGCCCGGGACCGTGCTCAACGGAAAGGTATTTCCTGCCGCTCCCAGGTTTCGTCGGTGGTCAAGGAAAAGGTCACTGAGGCCAGTGGCTCCGTTAAAGAGCGGGTTGCGACCCTGCGGCCAGATCAGCGGGTCACCACTTCTGAGGGCACCGCCGCATCTGAGCAAGCTGCGGCAGCTGCAAAGGAGACGGTTAGTGAGGCTGTCAATGGGAACGAGCATGTGGCCGAAACAACGGGAAAAGAAGAGGGAAAGACGAGGGACGAGTCGCAGGCAGAGACTGGGCCGAAAGTAGAGGCAGAAGCAGAGGGCTCTCGAGAAGATGCACAGGGGGGGAGTCAAAAGGTTGAGGGGGAGGGGGGCCCTTCAGGGGCAGAAGCGGGGTCTAGTGCGACAGAGGGGCCGAGCCCTTGGGAGCGAGCACAGCAGGTGCGTGCTTAGAATCTGGATTCTCCCTTCTGCAGAGTAGCTGCACTTCCAGCTGATCACCCTACTCTTTGATAGAAGTCTTCATTCAGGAGAAGTTTGGCTTGCCCACTTCCGTTGCTGCTACTATTTAGTTCTTCGAAAGGCCCCATCTCTGGCTTCACTCCCTTCTCTGCCTACTATCAGGGGTCTGCGCGTCTGCATTCACCCGAAGCTTGCTCTGCCAATCTCTTTTTCTGTGCCTTCTTCCCTCAGTCGTTGGTGCCTGGCGCCATGAGCCTCAGCACTTGCGTGCTCAATGTCTGCAGGTGGCCAATTCCGCATGGACTCCGGTGGCAGGCGCCTTTGAGAGGGTGCGCGGAACGAAGATTTTGGAGAGCGTGCGGCAGGGTGCGCAGTTTGTGCAGGAGGAGCTGTCGGGCAGCGGCCGGCGGAAGCCGCGGAAACGATTGACGCCGGAGGAGGTCGAGGAGCGGGAAAAGGCAAAAGGTGAGACTGCGATTGTGTGACTACTTTGATTGAAATGCGTGCCATAGGAATGTTGCCTTTTGCTAAGCATTCGGTCAGAAACGGATGAAGGACTCCCAGTGCCTTCCTCTAAGGGAAGCCGTTCGTCTTCTTAAGCGGTTCTCGTCCTCCCTCCGGTCTAAGTGTGGGGCGCTGGTGCACGAACAGGGCGAATATAAGGAAGAAGCAAGATATATAAGATACGTTATGGCAGCTGCAAGAAGCTCACGCGTGAGTCCGTGCCTGCGACCAAGGGAGTCCAATATGAATTTCATGCTCAAAAGTCTCACTTTTGTGGAGGTCTCACCGCTATTCAGTCGTGTCGAAATTTAAGCCGTTCCATTTTCGATTCGCTTGCACAGTTAGCACGCCTCTCGCCTCGGTCGTTTTTGTCCCCAAGTCCTTCTTGTTAATCCTGGGACCCTTCTCTAGATGACTTCTTCAAATAGTTTTCGTACGCTCAAGTTGCAATAAGAACGAAGCTGATACTAATATTCACCCAAACATTTACCTGCTCTGCCCCCGTGCCCATCCTCGAATCCCCCTCGCTGATCTCACCCGTCGTAGGCAGGTTGATTCAGTAGGAACTTAACTTGGGCTTATCATTACCAAATTTGAGGATACTTCTCATTTGCAGCGGCGGAAGAGGCCAAGCTGGGCCCCAAGAGCGACGCGACGTCGGTGGTGATCCTTCCGAAGAAGCAGAGCGCGTGGGAGCGGCGGCGCGAGCAGATTTACGAGTGGTTGCGGCAGAACCTGGTGTTCCAGCGGATCGCGGGGCTGGGAAACTTCGCAAAGCCGGTGCTGCAGAAGGGGCAGGAAATTGTGGAGGACGTGCAGGAGAAGTGGGAGACCAGCCCCAGCCCCACCGTGGAGCGGATCCGGGTGAGCGACTCCTCACTAGTCTGACTAGAGATCATCGAGGTTTGGAATGGCGTGAGACGAACGTTGCAGGACTCGACGAGACCCATTGAAGGGGAATGTAAAGGTTCCAAAGGAAATGAGCAACAAACGGGAGATGGGGGATCAGCTCCAGCCCCACTGTGGAGCGCATACGGGTGAGTATTTTACCAGAGCCAATGGAACGTACGAGTCGGTTGAGAACGGAGTGCAACCAGCAGTCACGAAGTGCACAGCTTTTTGTTGACAAGCTTTGAGGCGAAAACGTGAAGGTCCAACGAGACCCAGTCTGTGGAGTGCATCCGGAAAAGCAATTTTGGAGCCTGTCGAATGAAGGGAGGTGAATACTAGCAAGGATAGATGAAGAGACTTTGAACAGGAAACAAGAAAACGAAGCGAGTCTGGGGAACGGGGCTGGTAAGGAGCGAGTCTGGGAAACGAGGCCCAGCCGACGGACCGCACTCAATTGAGCAGGCTGCGAAGGACGAGGGGACTTTTTGAGAGCAAGGGAGAAGCATGAGCGAAATACTCAGCTAAGAAAGGGAGAGAGAAAACGACGGCAAAGAAAGTTTGACTGATTAGAATTGGGTGTCGGCAAGGCGAGCATCTCAGGAGGAGTTATGATTTCTGACAACTCCTTGTTCCTGGGACGGCGTCGCGAAACGGGGATGGCATGAGCGGGCTCGTATGATTGTCGGTCGGAGACGCCAGCTGTCGCCACAGACTACTTCGTTGAACTAGGCTGTCACCACACTGGCGCATCCGCCATGTCGCTCCTTTCCAACCAAAGGATTTCCCCGCATTCTCCTGTTCTCCCTCAGGTTCTAGGAACTGCCCGTCCTTACCAATTGTGCTCGATACGCGTCAGAATAAACGGATTGCCGCTCCTCACGGCTGCAGGATATGAACGAGCGGCTGTTCGGCGAGACCCCGTCCGCGATGGCCATGGTCGCGATCCGGCGGCGCGACCCGACGTTTTCGCTGCCGGACTTCATGACGGACGTCCAGGAAGACGTGCGCCCCGTGCTGCTCGCGTACCTGGGGGGGGACCTGGAGGCGCTGGCCCAGCTGTGCGCGGACGAGGTCGTGCAGCGCGCGCGCGGGGAGCGGAAGGCGTTCGACGCGCTGGGGGTCACGCCCGAGTTCAAGGTGCGCTTGTGGGGCATTCGGGGCTTTGGGTCGAGAAGTGGTTGCGAAGAAAGCGGGCGTCGCATAGTCGTTTCTTCTGGTTTCCAGAAACACAACCGGACCGGTTGAAGTACCAGCTTTGAAGAAGCTGCAATCCAAGCCGAACCCCAAGTGACCTTACCTGTCAGATAGCGGGGTCCTTCATCCGAACGCTACGATCATTGACTGTTACATTATGTTCTGGACGCACTGTCTACGTCAACGAGCAACTCTTAGGGATTGGATTGATTATCAACTTCGACAATGGCACAAGAAGTCTCAGCGTCCAGACGCCCCGGTTCGACAAAGCATCGCTCGCGCTTGCAGAAATCTCTTTCCTCTTGAGGCCTAATGAGCAGGCTCTTAACTCCTCTTACGTTTGTGTGCTGACAGATCCTCCACATTTCGGAGGCGATGCTGCGTGACGTCAAGTTGGTGGGTGGGGAGCCCATGATCATCATCGGGGTAAGGCCCGATACTCTGGGTGCTGTGTGTGTGTGGCAGCAATGAACTCCTCGCATTTTTCGCGAAGCGCTGTCTGGTTCGCCCATCTTGGTTTGTGGAGCAAGCAGAGCAAGTACTTGTGGTTGTCAGTCGCTTATTGGGCACTGGTTTCGTGCAGTTTTCGACACAACAAATTTTCTGCATACGAGATCGGTTTGGCAAGGTCGTCGAGGGGGCGCCGGTGAGTGCATCTCCGTGTACTCGTACAGCCTGCGGAGCCATTCGATTATGTCGTTCAGCCATAATAAAGGGCCGCGGCATGTTTCTACGGCCAGATGAAGCTTGACTGCAGCCTTTGGACGCAATACTTGGTTTGTTTACACCGTGAGCGGACCAGATCCGGCGACAGCTTTCTGAGCTCGGATGTTAGAACAAAGAGGACGGGGGTATTCTGCGAAAAGTGTTGCTACTCATTCTCTTATAAATGGGCCGAAGACAGCCATGCTCGCTGATATTGTACTTTCATAACATCCTCCGGAAATTATGTTATTGCAACAACCCTGCTTTTTATCAGGCTTCGCACTGACAGGGTTTGGGTCTTTTGCAGGACGAGATCCACACAGTTTTCTACGGTTGGGCCATGCAGCAAGTTGCCCCCGAGAAGCAGGAGGAGGGCGGTCCGGTGCGATGGGAATTGCGAGACATGCAGCACCAGAGAATGCAGGCGATTGTGTAGCACGAGCGAGCACGGCCATCAGACGCTTGATGCGCCGCACGATATAGCAATCAACAATTTTTGCCAAAATGTCAGCATTTATTGAGCCTAGCCTTACTGCAAATTGCGCGCTTTTGAGGGCGGTTGCATGACTGATGCTGTCGCTGCCTTTTCACCTTAAAGCACTGCACATGTGGGAGGATGTAGTGTATTGCATGCGCTGGGTTGATGAACAGAGGGTACATCGATTTGCATTTAGTAGAAAATGTAAATCTGGCATGCCATGCACCGTCGGAAGCTGCATGACCCACGCCTCTTGGCCGCGAGGGCCGTCACTGTGAATTTAATGTACTATCTGTACGATTCATGATGATCTGCACATGTCACGTTTGCGGATTTCCCAGCTTCAAATTCCGCGGTATCGGCGGGCTGCCAGCGCGGTGTCACGGCAGTACCAGTACGGAAAGTACCGTTCGGAATCGTAAATTCACGGGGTTGAACCATGGTGACTCCGGGCTGGTACCGAGGACGCAGTACGGTGCTACCGTACTGACACCGTACTGCCAGCGTACTAAAATTTAGGATTCGGAGCATGGAGCTTGCAGCTTGCAAGCAGACATGGTTTACAAGCAGCAAAATCGTTCTCAGGATCACCAACAATGGCTGCCGTAGTTGCCTCTTACACATGATCAATGCGGCTCTTCAAGAATTTGGGTATAACATTTGATGACATTTTTGATTCCATTGGAGCTTCTTTGTGTACCTGAGAAAATCGTTCAATACCGATTATCGGCAACTTGATTTTGGAGCGCCCTCAAGAGGATTGTATGTCTCCCCCATTTCTAGCTGAGAGTTGCATGGAGCTGCCTTGAGCTGCTAAGCCTAGCTATAAACGCTTGAATTCAATCTTCACATTATCACATGTTCAACATGTGGGCAAGTGGCAATGCAAGTGGATAAGAAGCTTTCAGCTGGTCATTTGCAAAGCTTTTAAGAGCAAGTGACAAGAAAGAAACCACAAAGCACGAGCTTTTGCTCATTTTGCAGCACCTGAGGGAAAGGAGGCCGCAGGGTAACACGAGTCACATCTTGTCACCTTGTACCTACTTAGCTGAGTGTACTACTTCAGTACCAAATTTCTACTACGGTACCGTAGGATTCTTGAGCATCTACATGAGGCGTAGATTAGACAAGCAGGGGCCGCATCGGACGGTTGCCGAGTCTTGAAAGAGTGACACGACATCCGTTTGGTTCAATTTCAAACTGAGCTCTGTCCCAACTTCCAAGATCCGACCGCTAGGTACCGTACACCACACTAGGTAGTACCTGGGTAGTGAAGGTAAGGACTGTCAAATGCTGTCCAGACTCCACTACGGTACCGGTAGGTACCGACTAACGGATCGGGCACACTGACTTACTCTGAAACACTGAAGTCAGCTGCAGAGGGAGGCCCCGGTAGCCTGCACGGGGGTCCGGGAGCAACTTCTGAAGAGCCCAGTCATCTTTGAAGAGGCAGCGTTATTTGCGGAATTGCTTACCAAAACCGGGCAACATCTGAGTAATTGTGCGGGTTTCGTTTGCTGGTACCGTGTTGTCCATATTAAATATGTACGGTACCGGTGAGTTGAAAATTTTCGTCTGCAAGTACCGTTCATGGTGCCACCGTGTACGCACCATGCACGCAACATGGTACCGGCGGGGTACCAACGAGCTGGTACCGCGCCAAACTGCGCGAAACTCCGTAGTCCAGAATCCCCGTACGTGACATGTGTGTGCCCGCTAATTCCATCGGACAGCAATGTTGGGACAAGGCGCGGTCGCAGCATGCTCAGATCATGCCAGTACAGTTGCTGTCACCCACACCGCACGAATCACCGTCACCCAAAGGTAGTGACATACATGCTTAATCCAAACGGCCCGCACGAGCGGGGTGTGCGCTGGCCGGCAAAAGCTTTTCATGTCTAACTCGAGTCGACTCATACATGCCACTTTCCAGCACATTTAGGGTGTGGGCACGCACACCCTATCCGTTCAACAAAGGTTTTTGTCCCCTCGGCTCCAAAAGGTCTTTTATATGTTGAGCTATCCGCTCGGCAGCTCCTTCTCCAGAAGCAGCCTCCCCGGCCAAGCCCTGGTTCAGAGATCGTAACCGCTCTTTCATCGACTGTAGCTTTGCCGGATTCCGCATGTGATCCAGCACGACGGCAGCCACCTCGTTCGGTTCGATGCGGCCAACCAGCTCAGGAACAACGGCTTCTTTGGCCCACCTGAAAAAACCGGACTGACCGCCGTTGGTTCCGCTGCACCTCGTTGAGGCGTACGAAGCAGATGAACGGGATCCAGAAAGGAGTCTCTTTGCCAACTGGTGTGACTGGTCTGCATGACTCGCGACGTGTGGATACAACGCTTTATTCCTCTGCTGTACGGAGTAAGTTGTGTGCCGGGAAGGATGGCGATGCGAGACTTGATAGCTTCTGAAGCAGCAAAGCGGGCCCGCAAAATACCCAAACCTTGCGCCTCGAGGCTTTCGGCCTTCAGCCCGTGACCTTTCTCAGAGAGGCTGACGAAGGATGAAGAGATTGATATCCATGCATAGGCAGCAATTTCGCGGCGGAAATTTGGACATCGGGCGCCCCCGACCATAAAAGTTTCGGTCACCTGTTGGGCCACGCGATGAAGCCGGCGCTCTTGAGCAGCGCCCCGTTTACCACGCGCGCCGCCACGTCCCCAACGGGACCGGGAAGATTGGCAAGCAGCCCGCCGATGCCGCCGGTCGCGCCACGGAAGACCTGGAGAAAGAGGATTGACAGATATGCATACCACGCTATTTGGGTTCGATGCACCAGCATATGAGCGCAGTTTCAACATGCGGAGAAGCAACCAGACAGCAGCTAAGAATAGAAGGTAGAGCATTGGAGCATTGCAGGGCATGCTGACAGGTGGCAACGGCAGACGTCCGGGCGCTCTGACCTCGAGGGAGTGCGTTGGGAGCACAACAATCATGGGGACCGCCAAAGAGCCCAGCTCCGCCGTGTTGGTGCCAATCTGATAAGAGGAGACGGACAAAGCGAACTCAAATATATTCTGCAATCCCAAAGCGCGTGTACATTAAGAAGAAGAGGTGTTACAAGCCATGTCGAGTCCGGCATTTGGGAACGTTCTTCCGCATGCTTCACAACCTAGCAAGATGGCTCTAGCGCATCAAGGTGCTGGCCTCAAACGCAGACACGAAGCTGCACAATCAGAAATTTCAAGAGAGTTGTGTTCCCCTAACGTCGCAAGATGGGTCACATTTTAGCAACGACGCTGGTGGTCCCGGGTCCGGATGACGTGGACCAGCGTGCTCTGCTCACGTCTGGCAAGTGGGTGCACTGGCGCCACCTCTAAGAAAGACCATTTTATCCGATCTCGCAGATCTTTAGATCACCATTTGGGATGCCTACCGTTGTTAGGCAGACGTCGCACTCTCTAAAGACGTCGTATGCGGGAAAGTGGTGATACACCTCCACTCTCGCCCCCCCCGGGGTGGTGAGAATGGCCACCGGAGCCCCGCTTGGGTCCGGCGTGAAGCGGGAAGAATGTGACGATGCGAGCAACGCAAGGTTTGCGGACGTCCAACCAAACTGGTGTATGTTGGGGTTCCGGTCCGGGCAGGCCTGCGCGGCCAGCTCTTCCAGGCTGACCGTGGGAGCTAGCGGCAGTACGAATCGGACGTCCGGAGATCTGCGGGCAAAAGGCACGTTTCAAGTAATGCCTCAACGTCGGCCTTGTCCGACGAGACTCAAAAGAGTTTGAAGGATATGCAACGAGGGGTAACGTGTGCACGTCAAGGTGGAAGATGCATAGTGATTGGAAATGGAAGGCTACAGGGAGAAGCAAAATTTTAACTATCGGCGGATTTACGGATCGGAAAAGGACAGGCGGCTGATAGACACCCGAAAACGATTGGCATTCTGAGGATCTTGACGAACGAGCCTCAATCTTAAGTAAGAAATGTTCTAGGTAGTATCCGTCCTCCTGCCTCTGTGGTTGGTTGAATGAGCTTGACAATCGAAAGGTTTTTACAGTCATTTGTAAGCCATGTTGTGCAGACAGATCAGCCCAGTCTGGGCTTTTATAGAAGAGATGAGTCTTCAGGAAACCCGTCCTGTTGAGAACAATCAAAAGAACCGGTGGATCTGTGTTCTCACTCGGCACGTATCCGGTCGACAGCCGCCAGGAAGTACGGCACCCCGAGCCCTAGCTTCGCTGGCTTCGAACCGGGCAGAATCCCGACCGTAAAATGGCCCTTCAGTTGTTCCCGTGTGCCAGCCTCTGAGTGACTTCGAATACGATCGGCGTCCTCTGTGCTGAAGTCCCTCGTCCCAGGAACCGCCGTTTCTAGGTCTAGATTCGCTGCCCCGTTTGTGCTTTCGTTCGAGCCGGCAGAAGAACGCTCCACATCGGCTTGCCTTTCTCTACTCGTGTTAAAACTCTGTTTGGGGGTGTTGAGGTTAGCTGCGGCTACGGTCTCGCCGAAGCTGGCTTTTCTATCTTCACTGACCGCGTCTACGAAGAGATCCCCTACTATTTCGCAGCGCTTTTGCGCAAAGGAGGGGACGCCAGTTAGAAGAGACGCGTTGCGCAGGAAGTAGGCGTCGGCGAGCCTGAAAGAAGCACCGAGACAGTCAGTTACACGAAGTTCGTTTGGAATCAGTTCTATGCTCCATCAACCGTGAATTGAGACCGACGTTGTGACTCGCCACAGGGAGTAGCTGCACAAAAGTAGCTGTCTTTCAAATTTTAGCGGTATCTGACATCAGCAACATTCAAATGCACGGCACAAGAGATCGATGTTCCAAGACGGAAAGTGCCGCGCCAAGGGAAAATTTCTAAAGATTCTGCGCTTGAAAACACATACGAAAGTAAGCCTTGAAGCATCAAGTATGAGTTGAGTATGACATTCGGCTCACCAGGCCCACCGAACAGCCTCCTCAGCGTATAGAACCGTCTTGTAGCCAAGTCGCCAGCCTAACACCAACTGCGAAAAATACAGAGATTCTTGTAACTGTCTGTGGAAACTCACCTTTTCAACAAGGGCTTTCAGGCTAGTCTACACAATCGCCACAAATCCCACAAGAAGCACCACAGGCAGTGTACTTCATAAGACCATGTAACTTGTTGAGTGATATTCTAAGGTGACATGAGGTAATTCTGCAGACTGAGACCCGTCAGTAAACTACACCCGTGCAACTTCGATGGTGCTTAGAGGCTGGGGGGTCGCCGAAACACTGACCGCATTGAACTGATCTCCTCCCAGGAACAGGGACACCCCATTCTTGCGCCAGTCCCAGCCCTCTGCAGTCTGCCCCCACACCAAGAGCGACGTGAAGTGCCGGGCTTCCTGTGGAGGGGGGCTTCTATCTGTTGGCAGAAAGAAAGAGGCTGCCCCAGAAAACGCTTCTTTGTACTGAAAGACTCAGGTTCTTATCGACAGTGCTTTTGTCAGGATAGACTCTGGAAGTGCGCAATGAAGTTGCCAAGACAATGGTCAAGAAGGTTGATTCTGGTTGGCATGATCAAATGTGAAGACGCAGACTGCTGCAGAGAAGTTGCTAAGATCTCGACAACAGTTGGCCTTGAAAAATAGAAAGCGCAGCAACTTTACCTGGCAGCGGTCAACTTCTGGGAACGAGCGTACTAGGGCAGCCTCTTGCTGAGAAGCGTGGGGGCAAGGAGAGAGCACAACCTGCAATAAGGCGTTCAAGACGTGAGAATAGCAGCATAGCAGCTCAGTCTTTGATGTACCAACACTGCGGTACATCAGAGCTGACCTGGTTGATGTTTGGACCTCAGTCCTTCCGCCAGAAGTTCAGCACTCTGTATAAAGAAAGCAGGAAAGCAGATCATGTTGATGCAAGCCTAGGCACAAGCTCGTTGGACTCACATTTGCATTTGAATTCTCAAGCAACCTGTGGAACAAGGCAAGGCAGTTGATCCTGATAGAATAAGAGATGGAATCATGTGGCTTACCGAGATCCTGAGCTTCTCTCTGTCTTCTCCAAATCCCCTTCTGAGTGCCTTGACCACTGGTTTCACCCAGGCTGCCACTTCCCCGGGCCCATTGGTAAGGATCACGATGTCATATGATCCAGCTACACTACTGAGTCCCTGCATTCTTCCCCCAGCTTGATCAACAAGGGGCTCGAGCACCCTGCCTTCCGCAGCACCATCCGTTATGATGTCAGCGACGTCGGGTGCTGCTATCTTGATTGCACCACTTCTTAATGCCGGTGAGCAACACCGCTTCCCTCGCCCAGTCCCGATATGAAGACATTGCCCTCCAGGAAGGCACCGGGGCCTCAATAGTCTGTGTCCCAATTCGCCGCTACTCAAAAACCTGCCCTCTCTGACCGCTCTCAGCTTTGCAATGCCAGCACATGTTGCTGGTCCAGCTTGACATGGGACATTCATATATGAAGAGCACTTCTGCATTTCACCACCATTTGGAAGCCCCGTCTTCTGAGAGGCAAAGCAAAGAGCCTGTTCAGCCACAGCGGCGTCTTTGAACGCCAGCGCCATGGATGAAGCGGATCACTCTTATCAGAACGCGCAACGAAAGCTTGGCCACTCGTCTTGAACAGGGCTATCACATTATGCGACGCCGGTTTTCTCCAATGACTCCTTGCAGGCTGTGCTTGAGTCAAAGGCACATTTACGGCGAGCTTCTACCTACTCCCTGGCCCGTTTGCGCTGCATTCCCTCCTTGGATCTTACAGTATGTTACCTTTGTCTTTCTTGCCAGTTCTAGCTGCTACATATGTACATTCAGAGGGCCTAACGCCCAGGCAGATTCCGGACAAATGTATCTTACCCTCAGGCTGGTATCAATTAGGCTATACCCAGCCGCAGCGCCTTGCTCGCGCCAAATCCAGTCGCAGACAGACTTCGGAGCAGAGGGATCCTCCAAATTTTGCACCAATCGGAAAGCAGACACGAGCGACGTGGCAGCTCGCTGTTGGCTAAAATACTGTGTGTTGACTCTTAAGTCTTAGCCAGAGCTTCAGCCTTCAGCCTTCATTCGGAGTTTTCCAGAACCTGAGCCTGAGGCCTCAATGACAAGAGCATTCTTTTGACGGTTGTTCTTTTACTTAGAAAGTTTTGAACGAGCTTTTAGTTTGAAGGAGAAGTGGGGCGCCGACTGGTACCAGTCCACCAATCTGCAGGGTTACATGTAAAAGCCCTGTAAAAGAATCTTCCCCTAGCATCCAGTGCACTCCTCGTGGGGTCTCCGCTTCCACGAAAATGGCTTCCATGTCCTGTCACCTGTTGCCGGTCTGTAACAGCAAGGCGGCTTGTAACTATCCTGGAAGAGTGTTGCAGGAGATGGAAGGTTCGAGTAAGACGATGGTAGCGCCTCTCAAAAGCTCTCTATGGCAACCAGGCAAGTAAGCAAGCCTGGCAATCTGCAATGCTGCCACTGTCCATGTTACGGACAGAAATTTGTGTCTCGTTTAGGGAACTTCTTTGTTTGTGTTTGCCCACTCACCTTTAGGTTCAAAAGGACTGCCTTCGCAGTGGCACTGAGCGGTACAGAGAAAAGGAAGTCGCTTTATCAAAATCAAGTCACGAACGCTTCAGGTCATCGGCTTGCATCAGGATCTGCAGAGACATGCTAGTGCCATGCGGGTGCAGCTTCTTTGAACATTGTTTGAACTGGCAGGAACCAAGGGCTTTACACCCCCACTCCTTTTCTGATTGATTGCTCAACCAAAATTACGATGAGTGGCGCTGAGGCGTTTCCCTTCTGACTTTCATATGAGACCCGTTCCGACCTCAAAACCGGACTTCAACTATTTCCAGGTTGTTGAGAGAATCTATGTTTACATCATGTTTTTATGATTCTTACTTGTAAATTTCCAGACTTTGCAGATGTTGAGAAGAGATCTCGCTTTTGCAGCAGGGACAGCCCAAGTTCATTAATGCACTTTTTGCAGGTCCACGAAGGGAAAATGTCCACTGGGGGCGTCTGACTTGCTTGGACCTGCGGTCAACTAAGCTCAACACTACTACAAATAGGCGGGTTGCATGTCAAGCTGTAGAGCATGAGGCGCAGCCAGCGCCTGTATCTACGGAAGCGGTCAAGGAAACGGAGGGAGAAGATGATGGTCCACCGTTCATTGAGCTGGAGTTCCAGCCCGTAAGCACTCTTCCAAGTCAAGTAGGGAAAATTCTGGAGATTTGACCGGTGCTTGAGATCATGCAGAGGGCTCAAACAGTTCTGTTGTCCGTTTGCTCTTGATGGTGCTTCCTTCCAGAAGGTGAAGTGTTATGTGGGGGCAATGCTGTTACCTTTTTTGTGCTCGGTAGGGATCCAATGTGTGGATTAGACAAAAGTGATTCAGACCGATCGTGGGCTGTGTAAGAAAACCATGACGCTCTATGTGGCTGCAGACCAAGGGTGACAAGGTGGATTACGCCAAGACTGTGAGCGGGACCAAGGTGCTCCGGAACCTCATGCAGGAGAACAAGATTGAGTTGTACAAGCTCTATGTGAGTTGTACTCAAAGCCCCCGCTTTGTGGAAGTCGTACAAATGAAGCTTGCGCTGCTCTTGTTCTCTCCCCTATGTGAACCCGACCAATAGTGTACACAGAACTGGTTTTTCTACTTTCGGGGTCTGCTTCCCGCATGCTCGCTTGTTTGCAAGTTCCGGTTGTCACACTTTAAGTGTCCTCGATGAAGAAGTTAAGGTTATAGGCTGTAGAGCAGTGTGGGACGTTTTGTCACATGGAGTCAGGGGACAGTGTTCCCTCTTATGAGGATCACTGTGGGGCCGGGCCGATCTCGTCATATTGCGGGCTTTCTTTGATTTGATGCAGGGCAAGTTGATGAATTGCGGGGGAGCAGGGAATTGTGGAACTTGCGAGGTTGAGATTTTGGAGGGTGCGGAGTTGTTGAGTGAACGGACAGACGCAGAGTACAAGTACCTGAAAAAGGTACTGGCGCTTGTCCCAATAACAATTCCCCTCCGCTGTTGGCGCTTGCTGCTGGTTGTCGATATGCTTTTCTGAGCAGAAGTTCTTGTAGATGAGTGTGGGCCGTTTTCTAGCTCGGACAGCTTGAGCAGCATGCTAAGAACAAAGTCGTGGTTGCAAGGTGCCGTAAGGCAATCTTCCAAGGTTCTATCTGGTGGCACAACGTTCTGTTTCCTTGTGAGGAGATGGGTTCCCCCGATTGTAAGCATGATGCGCATCACGCTTTCCGTCTGTACTTGCCACTGTAAGCCTTGGTCAGACGCCTTCGCGGATCTATGGTGGTTCGGCTGAGGCGTCCGGTTCTAGAGATATGCAACGACCCTTTATTCTTCGTGCAGAAGCCCGACACGTACAGGCTCGCATGCCAAACGATTGTTGGGGACAAAAGCAACCGGGGCAAGGTGAGCCTCGTGGATGTCCCGCTTTGGTTGCTCCGTTCCTCAGTCCCCTCCTCGTGCTGCGTCAATGCATGATTCCTTACCTTGGTAAGGCGACCTGGGGTTTTCTACCCGAGGAAGGAGTAAGTCACCTACTCAATCCAGGAATTCCCGTTCAGTACCTTACTGGATTTTGACACCCTTGCTTTCAGGGTCGTATTTCTCGCTGATTGAGATCTTGGTTCTCTTGGTCAAAATGCAAAACAGGACTCCGTCTGTAGGTGCTCACCGGAAAGGAAACGTTCAGTTTCTAGCGCATGTGTTCTGGGGTAATAAAGGTGCTTGCCTCCAATCTGAATCGTCGATGGTCTTGGTCTACTTCGGCGCTTTGCCTGTATACGACGACTACAATCATCCTTGATGAGCCGCGTGTTCAGGCAATCTTGGCAAGACAGTAAAGCTTCACAGAGTGGCTGTTCCGTGCTTTTGACGACCTTCTCACCGTCTGCGACTTGCCACGAGCTGGCGCAGTTTGAAAGGCAGTCTGATCAGCGCTCCTGATGACGTCGTGTCTTTCCCTCGTGCTGCTTTGAGCTTGCTTATTTTGAACTTTGCAGGTAGTAGTCCGGAAGACGCCCCCTTAGAAGTAGATAGCCAAGTCGGATTAAGTTAAGGCTCTGGGGCTGGGGGGGCAATCTCCTGTGGAAGGTGCACCAGTGATCAAGTAGATTCATGTTGCAGGCATCAGGCAGGCTAGTAGAAGTCCGCATACGACCGTTCTTAGAAAATTGAAGGGTGACGGACCTTCGAACTGTTCCTATATTAGCTTTACGTGAGAACTTCGACTTTAGACAGACTTGCCGAGTGCGGGAGCTGCTTCAGTTGATTTGGGCATTTACTATGGGCTTCATGGCCTTGTTAGCGTTGGACATCATGCGGACTTACAGCAAAACAAAGATAGTCGATCGATCCAGGGTTGCGCAGTCTAGTCGTTTGTACACGAATGGATCCGCCGGCAGTTCTCGCCAGCAGTACGTCCATTCTAGCACTTGATCGCAATCAGTCGCAGCAAGGAGATGCTTTGGCTCTTTCAAATACCCCACTTACCGAGGCAGCGTCGACTTGCCTGTACCATGAGGTACACCACAAGGCAGATTTGGGTTAATGCGTGAGACTGAGGCTAGGTACACATGTCAAGCTGAAAGTTGTACTTACAATTATTCGTATGTGAGATCGACCTACGGCTCATGGGTGGCTACGGCGTTTAAAAGATCGAAAACATCAAACACCATATGTACGTTTCTTGACTTGCCAAGTGCACATGTCTCTACTCCTTATATGTCATGCTCACAACTTGGCAAGCCTGAGCCTCATTTAGCAAACTTACTGCCCTCGCACATGTCCAGGCGCAGCCTAAGGCTCTCGCGCTTGGCAGCATCACGACATTGATACCCAGTGCGACATATGTGGAAAATCCCAGATCGAATAAAGAGACCGCACCTGATAGAGCACCGCAGGTGACCACCATTATGAAGTATACAAACTATACAGTGATTGCAATGAACCCCTTTCTTATAGCTTTCGTGACATCAACATGCAGTCCGTCATGTGCAACACTTGGATGATGGTCACGGTGGGAACACTACACTCTGTAAGTGTCTATGCAATTAGTCAGACGCACCATGAATTGTGCAAAAGTAAAGCTAGAGAGCGGGCTAGACTCAGATCTTGAGTGAAGTGATCAGGCCGCAGAGCCGGGTGCAATTCGGTAAAAACCTGTTGTCTTGATAAGAATGATTCTTTTCAAATAGGTCGTGAGTCGTGACACTAATTCCCGCAGAAGCTTCGACTCCCAACCATTACACAGCTGCTTCACAGTCCGATTTACAATTAGTAGCAGCTCCGATTAACTATACGCATGTATCTTCATTAGCTTGGCGAAAACTAAGGCTCAGTCTTTGCAAAGTTGTACAATATATATATAATAATATGTACAACTTTTCAGGATCCAACGGTTTCAAGTATAGGATCTAAAATACTAATTATATACACTACCTACTGACTATACACATGCTCGGGGCCTCCTCATTATACGCTCTACAGATACTTGATATCCTGCAAACATGCAAATAACATGATCTGAGGGCGAGGCCAGTCATGCACAGTCCTCGTAAATAGCAATACAACTGCCAGAGATGCGCAATAACTTCCTCTACTAGGAAAGAACATATGGGCGAGCAACAATCAGGACTCGATTGGATGCAAGCACTGAAACGAAATCTCGCCAGATCGGTCTATGCCCCGCCAATCGTGAAAGTACCCAAGAAGGAAGCACCATCGATGATCAGCAAAGCAGCAAAGATGAACCGAAGACATCAACCTGATCAAAACAGCAAAAGAAGAAGTAAGGGGCAAGCGCCACAACAAACGTGGAGATAGATAAGGAGAAAACAAAACGCGGGGGCGATTGCAGAGCGTAGCCTCAGTCGAAAGATGGTGATTAAGTAACATCATGGTGTTCAGATGTTTTCGGATTTAAATTTACATCACAGGCTGCTCTCTGCCCCTGCCCAACAATACTTAGAAACTAGCGAAAACGCAAAAAATTACAAGCACCGTCCAGTTTTGAAAGTACAGCATGCAAAAAGTCTCAAGCAGGGTTGCTCGGGACACCAGCCGACATGAAAGACCATGCTTTGCAGACTGTTCCTGCCAGGATGATGCAAACTCTCCTGCTCATGAACAGAGGCTCGTACAAAGGGGTTTCGAATTGCGTGTCTCTCAGATAGTGGTGCATGTTGATTCCTCATTGGAGGTCAGAACAGGTCTATGTTTTGATCATCACTGAGACACCCATTTCTTCCCCCTGCCTTGGCCTACTGTGGCAATAAAAAGAGAAAAGACAACCAGAGCCACGCCGGAATAATGTACAGCGGCAGTAAAATGCACAGCGTCAAGAAAGAAGGACGCCTACTTTCAAGAAAGACGCCTTTAGAACTTGCCGCGTTGTTCGTGAGGCTCTCAGTTCGTGAATATGAGAATCTCGAATCTGTGAACTACACTGACTAAACAATCGTTCACAAGAAATCAATCCGGAGCCTCTCAAAGATGACTGAAACAAACTACATGAAAAGTCGCCTCACATGACAGTCAAGCCTGGCGTGTTGCCAACACTTGCGCCGGATCTGCCCCCTTCTTCTGGGCAGCCGAGGCCCCTACTCCGGGACAAACATCCGCTTGAGGACGTACCCGCCAGCGCTTGCAACGTCCGCCTCGTCCAAGAGGGAGCCGTCCATGTCCGCAGCATCACCCAGCAGCAGAGCGGACTTGACGCTGTAGAGGAAGACCAATGAAGAGTTGCTGACAATTGATCAAGCTTTTGGCTAAATGGACAATGATACGTCGTCGACCGCTTTAGCCATTCAACACCCTACAACAAACGCCCTCAATGACTAACTTTTACAACTTCTCTCCACCGAAACAGAACAGAATCGCAAAGTCAACTAAGTAAACAATTGCAAAGACGAACAACAGAGGTCCTCATAAGCAGACCGCAACCAGCGGGCGCTGTTACAGGACTGCAAAAGAAACTGACAGAGGACACTAAGCTACAAGATTGACGCTTTGTCCTTTTATTGCAGAATGTCCGAGAAGTTACTATCAGATGGACACCCATGTATATTGGGTGCTGTCAGCGAAACTTCCGTTTTACTTTCCGCCTTATATGAAACAACCGTGTCATTGGAGACCTACACGGTTGGGATTAACGAAGGCGGATGGAGAGCAAAGTAGATCCACAATCGTCATTCTCGCGTATGGACGTGCAACACCCCATCATTTGGTCACCCAAACATCATCAAACGAAAAGACTGGCTTACCCAGCCTTAGCCTCGTTTGTCAGCGCAAATGTCGCCTGCTTCATGTCATCAAAGAATGCAACTGGGCGCTGCGCATAGAAGACCACAGAGGGCATCTTTGGGCCCACCATGCACAGCGGCTCGCCCTCACGCTGACAGCTGGCAGCCGTTACCGCCAGCTGGCGCAATGGTTGCTGCCGCACCCGGTCAAATAGTGCGTAGGCTGGGGTAAAGAAAGCTGCTAGGAAGATCGTGCCCGTGGCAGCCTGGACTACCCACAGGGGAAGGCGCAGCTTGCGCTTAATGGGTCCGCTGGAGGGGCTTTGGTGGGCTTCTGAATGGAGGGGTTTTGTGACGGCAGAAAACTCGTGTGTGCGGGTGACTGCGAGCGCGCCAGCACCAAAGATGGCAGTGCCGGTCCAGTGGAGATGCTGGGCTGCTATTCTGATCCCAATCTCGATGGCCTGCACAGGAGATGTCCGGGTCAGAACAAAAGCGCCTCCGACAGCCATGCAAACCTGTGGTTCAAGAATGATTCAAACACGCAGCCTCTGCCATCTTGAAGGAAAACATCGGACATTGAAAGACATGATTACAAAGCAGCTCCACTGAAGTCAAGTTCGTTTGAACAGAAGCAACCAAATCAGAGGCCAAGAACACTCACAAACCAAGTATCCACGGAACAAAAGGTCCAACTATAACTTGATGATAATGGTCATGTTTGCAGATACCAGAACCAGAAAGAAGGAAGCGCAGAGCAAACAGGCTGGCCTCACCTTTGCATCCGCTGAGGAGGCCAGCATCGCAGGCAGCTGTGACAGCGCCACCGCCTGCAGCGCATAAGCGGCCAGCGTACTCGCCGCAGTCAGTCTTGCAACATTTGGCGGCACACCTTCCTGCTCCTCAGCCTCCGGCTTGTCTTCTCTCCTCTCTTGCCAAGTCAGTAGAGACGCGGCCAAGAGCGCAACGGCGGGGCTCAGGGGGAGGTAGTAGGATGGCAGCTGGGATGCTGATGACGAGAAGAAGGCGAAGACCGCAAGGAACCAGGACGCGGCAAAGGGTACCAGGCGATCCTCGCGGGAAGTGGCCAGCCAGAGGGAGCGGTGGGAGTGGAGACGGGAGCGGAGGAGGGCCACAGGGACGGCGAGGGACCAGGGCTGTAATGCAGGAACAGAGAAAAGGTTCAGAAAGCCATCTTGATTGCAAAGCTACTCTGAAAGAAACTTGATTGCAACGCGACTCTGGAAGAACGTGCACGCTTTGCAAAGACAGCTGGAGCACATGAGCAACACATGAGAAAGCTGCAAGAGCATCAAAAGTTGGATCCAAATGTAACTTCTCATTGCATCCAACCTTGCAGAATGGAAACATAAAAAGGCTGCCAATATCAAAGCCAGTAGCGCACCAGTCAGATGGTTCACACAGGTGCGTCAATCACTGCACACATTGAATGCGGAAACAACAAATGCCAAGGCTTCAACATTAAGTCCTTACCAGGTGTGCAGCAAGGACGACGGCGGAAGGAAACCAGAATGGCATCCCATCGTGGTGGTTTACGCCCTTGGTGAAGCGCTCCAGATTGTGGTACCCAAAGAATGTCGCCCAGTACATGCGCCCGTGCCTCTGAACCATTGTCAGATACCACGGTGCATTCAATCCCAACACAATGCTCGCCCCCTTGAGCAGCGGCAGCTCTTGCAGTACTGTCAGAAGCTCTCCTGTATACATCAAGAAAGTGGCGCACACCAAAGTGGGTACCACCACCCCAACAGGGCCTTTGCTGAGGACTGAGAGCGCCATGAAGATAGCCGACAGAGGGTAGCCCCAGCGAAATCCCCGCTGGTGCTGTCCGGCATAACCGTAGAAGAACGCCAACAAACAGGCCCCGGTGGTGGACGTCAGCAGCATGTCTGAGACACCAATGCTCCCCCAGACGACGACCTCAGTGCTCAGCGCAAAAGCGCACGCGACCACAATGCAACTGACGAGGGAGCCCTTCTTTCTGCTGATGGGGCCGCCTGTTAAAGCGTGCTCTGAAGCAAAGGGAAGCCCAAACTGGCGCACAACCTTTACCAAACCCCACATGAGCAGCGAGGCGCAGACAGTGGAGGGCAGCCGATATGCCCATGCTCTGTTTCTTCCGAGCACCCTTGCTCCAGCTGCTGCGAGCCAGTAGATGAGGGCTGGCTTGTCAAACCGCGGTTGAGCATTGAATTGCGGAGTGATCCAGTCTCCGGTGAGAAGCATCTGCCGGGCTGCTTCGATAAAGAGGGGCTCTGTGTCATCCACCAAACCCGCTGCGGCCAGATTGCAGAACCAAGCCACAGCGGCCAGGGTTGCAAAACCACCAACTAACAATGTCGTCCTCCACCCTTCTGACAACCCCTCCAACCAGCCTTCCAAATCTGGAAACGGTAACGGTCTGAAGTGCAGAAAGGAGGCGCGTTCATTCACAGTAACATGCTCTCGGCTGTCCTTAGCTGACTGATCAGGGTACCCTGATGCTGAGCCAATAGAATCAGCAGACCTAGCACTGGCTCGAGGCCGACACTGAACCAAGCGTTCCCGCTGCAAGCCGGACCAGTGCCGCTGGCGCCAGAACCCCCTCCCCTCCTGCGAGAGGGAAGCACGACCATCATTGCCAAAACACCGCTTAGGAATTTGAACGGGCGTCCTCTGAGAGATAGATGGAACGAGAACTGGGATTGGAGCTTCCGGATATCGCCAGGAAACAGCTGGCCCCAGCTTGCCGGCTGATAAAGAGGGCCACATTGCAAGGCTCCATGAAGCCATGGAAATGGCAGCGTGGTACGAGGAGGGGGGAGGGAGCCATTGAGAAGGGCTCCAATATTATTGTCAACGCTTGCATTGGTTGCACAACGAAGGCGCCATCGAGGCCGCCTCCACGTCTCCTGCGAGTACGTATGGCTACCACACCGCGAACAGAAGGCTAAGAAGCTTCCACGGCGTGAGTAGTTGTGCCACTTCAGATTAAA